CTGCATTGTTTACATATGAAATAGGTTGCAGCAGGATGCCCTATGGGAAAAAGACAGGCTAGTGGAGGCAGTGGGGGACCTACATGGTATTAGGCAAGTGGTTTTATTGTCATGGCTGTCAGTGTAAATGTCTTTATAGATTAAATGGACACTGTGTCTACAAACCATTCTTATCAAGTTTGATAGGCCATGTTAATGAACAATCAACTCAATAATCAAGATGGAATGTTTGGAAAAACAGTTATATGTTACATGGATTTAATCAAAGCTATTCTCTTGGTGATCATTCTGGCTTATTGATGAGTTGGCATGACCTTTTTGTGCCCTGACAAATGACCTGTCTGTGCTAAAAAAGGTTGGCATTGGCAAAAATGATTTGCCCATTTAGCCAGGTGGTGGGATGGTCTGTTCAAGTTTGACAGATTAAATTGTTCTGTGCTTTCAAAATTGTCTGATTGATATTCTGCCTTTTATTGGTATTTTAGAGAACAAACCAAACTGTGAAATTAAATGTAATTATGTATTACTTTAATCATCAGAAATGCCAAGTTTTAAGTTGAAAAATGTTTATACTTAAATACAAGGATGATCATCACCATTTGTTATGCAACAGTGTTGCCAGTGATTCAGCCCTAAGTCATTGCTACTAATAGGACGTGCATTACTTCTACCATATCTAGGATATCACAATGTCATCAAATACTGTGAGATATCAAAATAATAATCAGCTTGTCTGATCAGTTCCATCTACATTCATTATATTCTTACATTTAAATTAAAAGTCATCTAAATTTTATAAATAAATAAATACATATATATATATATATATCCAAACCTGGTTTGAAACATGAATATAAAAATTGATCTTACAATATTACAAAGGTTACAATTAAACCCCAAATGTTTTCAAAACTAGAAATATTTTGGCCACTGGAAGGTAATCTATTGTTAGACTGCATTTGGTTAAAAAAGGCTCAATATTTCTTATGGATACTTAATAGTATGTCCTATGGCACAAGAAGTTAGTTTTATTATTCGTCTTAACTTGTATTATTACCTGTGATGAAGCTGCTTTGTCCGCACATTGATTGTTTGCCCCATGGCTTCTAAATGGGCACAGCCGTACCTCACTGAGAAGAACTGTGTTATGTTATGATATGTTATTGTATGTCTGTACTGCTGAAGGTCAAACATTGCTTTATCTCATGCATTACAATTTACTAACACAATCTTTTCATCAATACTCCAAGTTTGTGAGGTTAAAAGAACACTCCAAACACCATAACCACTATATAGTGCTGTGGTGGCTATGGTACCAGGTGTATCCCGGTGCACCTCAATGCAAGTAGTGGAGCTCTCAGCTATTAAGTTGGTGCTACATGGCAATGTTTAGCTCAGGAGAGCTAAGAAAAGCTCCTTGCAGGAGCTTGTGGACGTCAGTGAAGAACGTGACCAGTGCATAGTGGACCCCTGAAAATCAGGTAAATTGTTAGCAAATGGTTTGATAATATAAATTTGGGGGGTGACAATGCACTGTTGCCACCATAACTTCTACATTGTGCTTTAGTGTATTGGTGTGCACATTAAACTACAAACAAAATACATCAATCTTGGAATGAAGTGACCTGCCTGTTTACACTTATTATTACATTTTTTCTTCAAGCATCATAACCACAACAGATTGCCAGTAGTTTCAATGCCAGGAATACTCTGGTCTGGTTTTCCAGTAATGGGGCAAACGATGGATGTTACATAGTAAAAAACCTTGAAATGGCAATTCGATTTCTCCATGGATCCACAACATGTTGACATACATATCTATTATGTCCTTGAATATTCTGCTTATACAAAAAAGCATCCAACCCTTTTAATTTTATAATCATCTATAGAATCTGATAAGAGGAACCTCTTTACGTTCTTTAATCTTCATACTGTAATGAGCCCTTTCCTTTGCTGTATGTGAAAACGCCTTTCTTCCAGTCAATGAAAATGACACAGAATTCCCATTAGTCAGCCCGGAACTCTAGTTCCAGGCCGGCTGATGACACCCCTATGTCGCTGCCAAAGGTGGAGTTAAAACTCTGGCAGCAAAGCGGCAAAGCTTATCAAAAAAAGCAACCACTTTAAATCCCTGAAGTGGCCATGGTGCTTGAAGTGGACCTTAAATTTGTTGTGTTATTTTGTGTTACAGTGCTTATTTGTACTTTGTTTTAATTAATTAATTAATTAATTAATTAGAAATTATTAGTAACATCTAGTTGAAGTTGCTTGTCTGTGCCTACAGGCTGTGGTGTTTATGGTGTTTGCTATTGCTCAAACATGAAGTTTTTGTGGCTTTGGTTAATTGTTCAACCTCGTTATCACTGACTAAACAGGTCTATTTAGGTAGTGATTTCACTGGCAGGGTTATTCACTAAAGTGTCAATTGCACTGGTGTATTTTGGTTTTGTGCTGCCCTAGGTATGACTAAGCTTGGACACCCCCCTAATCTAAATCTACCCCTTTCCTGTCAAGGCCACACCTCTTCCTGTTTAAGACTAACGCACACTTTGACTGACAGACACATGCCCTCACTGATACATACACTGGCACACGCTCAAAGAACACATATCCTCACTGATTTGACACACTCTGACACGCACACACACTCATGCAGACACACTGACACACCCACATTCACTGTCAGACACACACACACACACATTCACTGACACACACACTTACTGACAGACACACATTCACTGACACTCACACACACATTCCCTGACAGACACACATGAAGTCACTGACAGACATTCACTGACAGACAGACACACACACACACACTCACTGACAGACAGACAGACACACAGTCACTGACAGACAGACACACACACACACACATTCACTGACAGACACACACAGTCACTGACCGACACACACACTCACTGATAAGACACACATACTGACAGACACACACACTCACTGACTGACAGACACACACAGTCACTGACAGACACACACACATACACACAGTCACTGACAGAAACCTTTTGACAAACACACACTCTGACAAACACACACATGCATTCACTGACAGATACACACAGTCACTGACATACACTCAAACACGTATTGACAGACATTCACTGACACACACACACACACACATATTCACTGACCGACACATTCATAGTCACTGACAGACAGACCCACACACACAGAGTCACTGACAGACATTTACTGACAGACAGACACACATAGTCACTGACAGACAGACACACAGACACAGACACACAGACACACACACTTACTGACAGACACACACATTCATTGACAGACACACACATAATCAGTGACAGACACATACAGTCACTAATAGACACACACACAAACTGACAGACATATACACACACACACACTCACTGACAGACACACACAGTCACTAATAGACACACACTCACTGACTGACTGACTGACACACACACACACATAGTCACTGACAGACAGACACACAGACACAGACACACAGACACACACACTTACTGACAGACACACACATTCATTGACAGACACACACATAATCAGTGACAGACACATACAGTCACTAATAGACACACACACAAACTGACAGACATACACACACACACACACACACACACACTCACTGACAGACACACACAGTCACTAATAGACACACACTCACTGACTGACTGACTGACACACACACACACAGTCACTGACAGACACACACATACAGTCACTGACAGAAACCCACTGACAAATACATACTCTGATAGTGATACTGACACTCACACACATTTTTCTATTACACTCTATTTTTTTTTTATTCCTCTTCTTAATTTTTAGCTTCCCTATCTGTGGATTATTCCCTGGGGTCCAGGTTGTGGTGATCTTCTTGATCTGCTCATGGCACGCAGTTTAGTGATGCCGGGGACGGATTGACATCATATCCCGGCATCACCACAAGGTGCGCGAGGGAGCAGAACAGGAAGACCACAGGCATCAGAGCTCCCTCTCTCACCCTAAGGTGGCCAGTCCAACAGCTCTTGTACCACCATGAAATGAGGCAAACATTCTTCCCCCCCACCACCCTCAGGAAAATGCCACCCTAGACAACTGCCTTGTTTTTCTCTTACTAAATACCGTGCTGGGGAGTTGCCAGGAATACAAAGGGAATTTCAAATTAAGCTATGTTAGCCTTTAATTTGAAATGTACATTTAAATCAGTTTGAATTCCCAGTAGTTCTCACTATAGTGAATAACCCTGTAAGTATCCAATTGTTCTATTAATGTGTCATTCGCTATTCTTTGAAAGAAAGGATTGTGATAACTCAAACATGGCTGCACTATGATGTAGGGTGCAGGGACATATTACACTGGACTGATAAGGAATAATGTGTTTTCAGATGGTTGTATTGTAATTGACATTGATAAATATTAAATGACGGACTGTAACATTGAAAAATACTAATATATAGAGCGCATACACACATTCTCTCTCTCTCTCTCTCTCTCTCTCTCTCTCTCTCTCTCTCTCTCTCTCTCTCTCTCTCTCTCTCTCTCTCTCTCTCTCTCTATATATATATTTCAATATATTATAAAGGTTTATCATTTTAATTTTGTTTAATTTATAAAGAACATCATTGACACCAATGGCTTAATGTTTATATTCTCTGCCTAGTCTTGGTATAGAGAGATAATTTGTCTGTATAATGTGTATCTAAGTTTAAGTTTTATAAGTTTTTTTAAAGAACATCTTTGACATCTATGGTTAATATCATCTGTCCAGTCCAGCTATAGAGAAATCATTTGTATAGATTGTATAAAGGTGTATGTAAGTTTAGGTTGTATAAGTTTATAAAGAACATTATTGACAAGAATAGGTTAATATTCATATAACAGCTATAGAGAAATCATCTGCAGTGTATACATTGATGCTGGATACGTGGTTTAGCCCCTACCTACATGGAATGCTATAAGGACTCACAGAGACATCACTACCCCTTCTTCACACTAAAGGTATTAAATTCTAATTAAACACCTGGGGGGAGGGGGATCAGCTGTTACAATGTATCAGTGAACCCCCAGCTTTGTGTCAGTGTGTAGGGCAGGTAGTGAGCTGGGAGCTGTGTTATGTCTGCCCCTTCCCATCCCCAGCACCAAACATCACAGGGTTCAATAATTAATGCAGAAATAGACTCTTTGGGGATGGTGGTGACGCAGGTTCCTGGAAGGAGATAGGGGTAACTCTTGCCTGTTTAAAATGCAGGCGAAAAGCCCAGCCTCCCACGCCTGGCAGCTTCTCTTTAAATAGAGGCAGGAGCCCCAGCAGCTGCTATTGAGATCGCTGGATCTAGCTGTAGAGAGAGCTGGGAGAGGACTGGAAACAAGCAGAGACAGCTCGCCTGGAGAGACAGCCCCAATACCGGTCACTAAAGGCAGGGGAGGGGGACCAAGTGTGAAGGAGCATGCTACCTACCGCCCTGCTGGTCAGCCTCTTGCTGGGCATCCTGGAAGGTAGGTGATGGTGGAGAGGATTTGGAAGGGGGTTTCACAAACCTGGGAGAGAAGCTGCTGCCCAGCCAATACTGCTGTGAACATAGAGACAGGAGGAGACTTTCAGCACCCTGGACAGCAGCTACCGAGCAAATCAATGCTGTGTAAAAAGCAAGAGCTGGGGTTACAGGACCCTGGGGAGCAGCAACTAACCTGCTCAATACATTGTAACATACAGCATTACAGAGGGTTACAGGACCCTGGGGAGCAGCAACTAACCTGCTCAATACATTGTAACATACAGCATTGCAGGGGGTTACAGGACCCTGGGGAGCAGCAACTAACCTGCTCAATACATTGTAACATACAGCATTAGAGGGGGTTACAGGACCCCGGGGAGCAGCTACTGACCTGCTCAATAAATTGTAACATACAGCATTACAGGGGGTTACAGGTCCCTGGGGAGCAGCAACTGACCTCTTCAATATATTGTAACATACAGCATTACAGGGGGTTACAGGTCCCTGGGGAGCAGCAACTGACCTGCTCAATACATTGTAATATACAGCATTAAAGGGGGTTACAGGACCCTGGGGAGCAGCAGCTAACCTGCTCAATACATTGTAACATACAGCATTACAGGGGGTTACAGGACCCTGGGGAGCAGCAACTGACCTGCTCAATACATTGTAACATACAGCATTACAGGGGATTACAGGACCCTGGGGAGCAGCTACCACCTCTTCAATATATTGTAACATACAGCATAACAGTGGGTTACAGGACCCTGGAGAGCAGCAACTGACCTCTTCAATACATTGTAACATATAGTATTAGAAGGGGTTACAGGACCCTGGGGAGCAGCTACTGACCTGCTCAATACATTGTAACATACAGCATTACAGGCGGTTATAGGACCATGGGGAGCAGCAACTGACCTCTTCAATACATTGTAACATACAGCATTACAGGGGGTTATAGGACCCCGGGGAGCAGCTACTGACCTGCTCAATACATTGTAACATACAGCATTACAGGGGATTACAGGACCCTGGGGAGCAGCAACTAACCTGCTCAATACATTGTAACATACAGCTTTACAGGGGGTTATAGGACCCTGGGGAGCAGCTACTGACCTGTTCAATACATTGTAACATACAGCATTACAGGGGGTTACAGGACCCTGGGGAGCAGCTACTGACCTCTTCAATACATTGTAACATACAGCATTACAATGGGTTACTGGTCCCCGGGGAGCAGACACTGACCTATTCAACACAGTGATAAATACAGCATTACAGGGGGTTACAGTATTACAGGGGGTTACAAGACAAGTAGCTACTGACCTGTTTAATACAGTGAAAAATACTACATTAGAGGAGGTTACAGGAACTTGAGGATCAGATACTGACCTGTTCAATACATTTATAGAAGCAAGCATTACAGTGGGCTTCATGACCCTAGGAAGCAGCTACTGGCCAATGCATTGTAGAATTTAGCACTAGAAGGGGTTAACAGAGCACGGAGAGCAGCTACTGACCTATTCAATGCATTGTAGAATACAGCACTAGAGGGGGTTACCAGACCATGGAGTGCAGCTACTGACCTATTCAATGCATTGTAGAATCCAGCACTAGAGGGGGTTAACAGACCATGGAGACAAGCTACTGACCTATTCAATGCATTGTAGAATCCAGCACTAGAGGGGCTTAACATACCATGGAGAGAAGGTACTGACCTATTCAATGCATTGTAGAATCCAGCATTACAGTGGGTTAACAGACCATGGAGAGCAGCTACTGACCTATTCAATGCATTGTAGAATCCAGCACTAGAGGGGGTTAACAAACTATGGAGAGCAGCTACTGACCTATTCAATGCATTGTAGAATCCAGCAATAGAGGGGGTTAACAGACCATGGAGAGCAGCTACTGACCTATTCAATGCATTATAGAATCCAGCAATAGAGGGGGTTAACAGACCATGGAGAGCAGCTACTGACCTATTCAATGCATTGTAGAATCCAACACTAGAGAGGGTTAACAGACTATGGAGAGCAGCTACTGACCTATTCAATGCATTATAGAATCCAGCAATAGAGGGGCTTAACAGACCACGGAGAGAAGCTACTGACCTATTCAGTGCATTGTAGAATACAGCACTAGAGGGGGTTAACAGACCATGGAGTGCAGCTACTGACCTATTCAATGCATTGTAGAATCCAGCACTAGAGGGGGTTAACAGACCATGGAGAGCAGCTACTGACCTATTCAATGCATTGTAGAATCCAACACTAGAGGGGGTTAACAGACCATGGAGAGAAGCTACTGACCTATTCAATGCATTGTAGAATACAGCATTACAGTGGGTTAATAGACCCTGGAGAGCAGCTACTGACCCATTCAATGCATTGTAGAATCCAGCATTACAGTGGGTTAATAGACCATGGAGTGCAGCCACTGACCTATTCAATGCATTGTAGAATCCAGCATTACAGTGGGTTAACAGACCCTGGAGAGCAGCTACTGACCCATTCAATGCATTGTAGAATCCAGCATTACAGTGGGTTAATAGACCATGGAGTGCAGCCACTGACCTATTCAATGCATTGTAGAATCCAGCATTACAGTGGGTTAACAGACCCTGGAGAGCAGCTACTGACCCATTCAATGCATTGTAGAATCCAGCATTACAGTGGGTTAATAGACCATGGAGTGCAGCCACTGACCTATTCAATGCATTGTAGAATCCAGCATTACAGTGGGTTAACAGACCCTGGAGAGCAGCTACTGGCCCATTCAATGCATTGTAGAAGTCAGCCCCTGGGTTTTTCAGGACCAGGGAGAGCAGCTAAGGATTAGGACAAACCTGTAAAATCAACACATACAAGTTTCTGGACACCAAACCCAAAGAAAATCACAAGTAACATGATAAAGGCTATAAATCGGGTAGTGAATTAAGTAGCAATACAAATAATACAAACCCTTCATTTATCGGATTGTTAGAGGGCAGAGTTCTGTGTTTTCTGAACTGATTTCTGTACCTAGCTGTCTGTTACTCTGACGCCTTTCATATCAAATTCTCAATTTATTGTAATTTAAGTTTGATAATGGGAGAACATACACCTTGTTATATGGACTTAGTTTTGCAAAGTTATGTCATTGCTTTTGAAATATTTACTAGGTAGCAGATTAAATCCTGTTGTTGAAAATAACATGTTCCATAGAAATAAAAACGCAGTATATGCATAAAGAAAGTTATATTTGCATAAGGCGTGGGTGCGCGTTAATCCTTTGGATACCTTAATTAATCTTCTTTGTTTAATAAAATAAAGTATAGCTGTTCTAGCTGATTGTGTTTTAAGACACGCGATCCTCTTTAATTTATTGATCATTTTTCTAGTGAAATCTATCATTATAGTACCTACAAAATAGATTGAAAAATACTTTGTTACCAATTAGGGTGTGTTACTGTTTTTACTGATATGAGACACCTAGTGGTGAATAAAAACACTACACCTCACATAGAATGATACATATTACATATACAGTATATATACATAAACTGTATATATATAATGCCTAAGAGGAAAACTCTTGAAAGCTTGTCTTTTAAGTATTATGTTAGTCCAATACATACTGCAATACTCTGGTATGTTGGCATCTTGTCTACTGGACTAATACAGCTAATCGAAGCTACTATATATATATATATATATAGATATATATATATATATATAAAATCTAGCATAATTTAAAATTATATGAAAGTCTCATTGAAGTAAAGCATGCATTTTGTGACACTACACTCAAGCAATGTAATAGGCAGTATTCTGAATGCCACCTAGTTTCAAAATAACTCATATATTTTTTCCCCACACACTGCCTGCTACATTTTACAATTGGCTTGATCCCTATTGGAAACAACTGCAGGATGATAGAGAGAAAAACAAGATTTTACCTATAGCTTTTAGGAAGATATGAACCTGTAACTAACTGCATATGTGTTATTGAAGACCAAAGCTGTCAGATATATAAGTGTTTGGGCATGTTTGGTAAAAAAAAAATGTATGTTATAAAGATTTTTTTTGTTGGTAAACCAGATATGCTTGACTGGTGTGAGAATTGATAGAATTTGTGTGTTGTCTGATGTTAGATATTTTAAACAAGAATAGCTTATCTGAACGACCTCTCGCACAATTTAAAATCTTCCCTAAGCCTAAAATCCTTTAAGAGATCCCTCTCTACATACCTCAAAACAGAATGCACCTGTCATGGTTGATTATATATTTCCTGCCTGTTCCATGTTAAATTTTGTATTTATTGTGTATTAATATTGTTTTTGTATTTTATTGTACCCTAATGTAACAATGCAATGATTTGTAGACCCGGGACATACTTGAAAACGAGAGAAATCTCAATGTATCTTTCCTGGTAAAATATTTTATAAATAAATAAATTATCAGTGAGATCAAAACAATATTAACAAAACTGAAACCATTTACTAAATTGGGATTATTTGAAACTCATTAGAGTAGTGTTGGCAAACTCAAGACCTTTAGATGTTCTAGAACTCCAATTGCCATGATGGTTTGCCAGGATTTAGAATGGCAAAGCATCAATAAAGTTGCAGTTCTCCAGCATCTGGGGACCTACCATCCCAGCTCTACAAAAAAAACACAGAACTGCAAAAAATCTCCAATTTATCTGTGCTAAGCCTGTGTTTATCTGTGCTAAGCCCAACAGTAAGACCATTTTAGCCTAAATGTTGCATTTCCCTAGTGGATTCCACAAAGTTCCCGATTTAGTGAATAACGCATAATCTTATGCCGCTTTCCAACTTGGTTGTTTAAATGGAACTTTTACAATGACCTCTACAGTTCAACATTTTATAAATACAGATCACGCAGTGTTAAATTTAATCAAAGCCATTGGAGCCACTTTAGAGATTTATTCACTAATCGTTGAAATCAGAGAATTGAAATGAAAAAATGGAAAAAAAAAATCTCCAACTCGGTTATTGTCACAGCATGATTATGTCCGCCTGGATTTTGGAAATCGATTTTCAACTCACCACAACTTTGAGTTTAAAGAATAATAAGAATAAACCCTTCTGGTATTTAATGCAGTTCTTTTATATTCTACTTTGGATTAACTGGGGTGCACTTTTTGTTTAGATTATGCAGTTCTGGTAATAAAACAATGGATACCTTTGGATGAAGTTTTAAGTTAGTTGGGACATTATAGTCACCAAAACAGCTTCAGCTCATTGAAGCAGTTTTGGTGTATAGATCATGCTCCTGCAGTCTCGTGCTCAATTCTCCAATTCTCTGCCATTTAGGAGTTAAAACTATTTGTTTATGCAGCCCTAGTTACACCTCCCTGCATGTGACTTACACAGCCTTCCTAAATACTTCCTGTAAAGAGTTATCTAATGTTTACACTTCCTTTATTGTAAATGCTGTTTAATGTATAATTTCGTATCTCCTGTCCTGTTAATAGATTGCTATACCCTGCAGGAGCCTCATATATGCAATCACAGTTAAATCTACAGAGCAGGAGATACAAATTTTTAGAGTAAGTTACATTTGAGTGAAAATGAAACCATTTTGTTTTCATGCAGACTGTGTTAGTCACAGCCAGGTGAGGTGCGGCTAGGGCTGCATAAACAGAAACAAAATTGATTTAACTCCTAAATAAAAGAGAATTGAGCAGTGGGACTGCAGGGGCATGATCTATACACAAAAACTCCGTCAATAAGCAAAAGTTGTTTTGGACACTATAGTGTCCCTTTAAGAAAACATTTTTATATAGATTACTGTTCAGTAATGACAGAAATTCTGGGTTTATTTTTTCATCCTTTTCAGAAATATTATATTATGTTAGTTTAAAGTAAGAATTGTGCAATATACAGGTTCTGCAAAACAAACATAATACAAATGAACAAATACCATTTGATGGACTAACTGTAAGGGATCCTGTGGTATTTTGGAGAATGCAGATTCCAGAAATGTTATCAGAATATAAATCGTATCATTGTGTTTGAATATAATGCCAACAGGCAAACAGATTAAATATAGTGATAATAATCAAAAACAAAACCAACTACCCACATAGCAGTATAATAAAACAAACTAACAAGTGTCACTAGTAGCCTCTGTAAACTGTGTTATAAAAATGTATTAAATAGATATCTAGCAGGTACTCTGAGAAGCTCTGCTACACTGGGCACCCGCTGGGACGCTGGGACTAGCTCGTCCTCCTCACTATGAGCTCAAAAAAATGTGATTAGGTTGACATGGCAATTATAAGACAGAAGCTTTGCGAAATCCTCATTATTTGATTTGTAGGATGGATATTTACTAACAAGTGTTGGAGACCGCTTAGCTCCTGTTAGCCAGTATGGCTCCATTCAATGATTTAAGCAATTCCCAAAACCTAAGTCCAAAAAACAAACAAAAAAAAAACCTCTTACTATAGGCCAGCATTTATATCAAAATTATTTGTTCAGCTAAAAAGCAATGTGATTGGCTGAGCCATGTACAGGTCAGTCACAATCTAAAATTAATTTCTGTGCAGTCAGCGAGAAATGAACTACTAAATTTAGAAAAAATATATATTTTGGATCCTGGCCAGAAATGTGCCATTTTTTCAATGTTACACTGTTTTTGCGGGTGAACTAGGCGCGAAACGACCTTATATGATTAAATGGGAGAGTGATTTGGGTGTGATGTTTATGGTGTCGAAGTGGCATAATTTAATGTTGAGTTTAAAGGGGATTACTCATAATATTATCCATTTGGAAACTCATTTGAAATTATTATACAGATGGTACTTGTCTCCCTTTAAATTCTACAGACTAAATCTTTCCAAATCTAAAATGTGTTGGAGGGGATGTGGCCAAACGGGTACCCTGTTTCATATTTTCTGGACATAAATCAAAAATTATTGGCAAAACATTTTATAATTAATTATCTCCATCACAGAATTTTCAATTGGTTTAACCCCCAGTATTATTATTATTATTATCATTTATATAGCGCCAACAGATTCCGTAGCGCTTTACAATATTTTGAGAGGGGGGATGTAACAATAAATAGGACAATTACAAGAAAACTTACAGGAACAATAGGTTGAAGAGGATCCTGCTCAAACGAACTTACAGACTATAGGAGGTGGGGTATTAGAAACATTAGGACAAGAAATATCAAGTAGGGGTGAAGCAGAGCTGGAGGAGAGAGCAAAGCACTGTCCCATAGGAGAGAGCAGGAGGTAGAGATTACTCTGGGAGGCCATAAGCTTTCCTGAAGAGATCGGTTTTAAGGCCCTTCTTAAATGATTGAAGACTAGGGGAGAGTCTGATGGCAGTAGGCAAGCTATTCCATAGGAGAGGAGCCACCCGTGAGAGGTCCTGCAAGCGCGAGTTGGCCGTACGGGTGCGAGCAGCGGTCAGGAGGTGGTCACGGGCAGAGCGGAGGGTACGAGGAGGGGCATATCTATGGATTAGTGAAGAGATATAAGCGGGGCTAGAATTGTTCAGTGCTTTAAATGTGTGGGTTAGCACTTTGAATTGACTCCTATAGCATACAGGGAGCCAATGTAAGGACTGGCAGAGGGGTGAGGTGTGAGAGGACCGACTAGAGAGGAAGATCAGTCTAGCTGCAGCATTCATGACAGACTGTAGCGGGGCAATACGGCTTTTGGGGAGACCAATCAGGAGAGGGTTACAGTAATCCATGCGGGAAATTACTAGAGCATGGACAAGCTCCTTGGTAGCATCTTGCGTAAGAAAGGGGCGAATGCGGGCTATGTTTTTGAGTTGGAACCTACAGGACTTGGCAACAAACTGGATGTGAGGCTCAAAGGTGAGACCAGAGTCAAGTATGACGCCAAGACAGCGCGCTTGCAGGGATGGACTTATGTGGATATCACTGAGTTGAAGGGAGAGCGAGAGAGGAGGATCAGTATTAGGAGGAGGAAAGACAAGGAGTTCAGTTTTAGAGAGGTTAAGTTTCAGAAAGCGTGAGGACATCCAGTCAGAGATTGAAGAAAGGCAAGCAGTGACACGTTGCAGGACGGCAGGGGAGAGGTCCGGGGAGGAGAGGTATATCTGAGTGTCATCAGCATACAGGTGGTAGCGGAATCCAAAAGAGGCAATAAGTTTACCTAGAGAGGCAGTATAAAGAGAAAATAGGAGGGGACCAAGGACAGACCCTTGGGGAACTCCGACCGAGACAGGACGAGGGGAGGAGGTATCCTTGGAAAAGGAGACACTGAACGAGCGTTGGGAGAGATAGGAGGAAAACCAAGAGAGGACAGAGTCACAGAGACCGAGCGATTGAAGAGTTTGAAGGAGGAGAGCATGATCAACGGTGTCAAAGGCAGCAGAGAGGTCAAGGAGAATTAATATGGAGTAGTGACCTTTGGATTTAGCGGAGATTAGGTCATTAGTCACTTTGATAAGAGCAGTCTCAGTAGAGTGGAGAGGGCGGAAGCCAGACTGAAGAGGGTCAAGGAGAGAGTTGGAATTAAGGAAGCGAGACACACGGGTAAAGACAAGTCTTTCCAAAAGCTTTGATGAGAAAGGGAGCAGGGATATGGGACGATAGTTAGAAGGGGAGGATGGGTCAAGAGATGTTTTTTTGTATGTCTCCTTAAACATTTCCCGGATGATCTCGCATATCATAAATGCGTTATGTTGGGTCATCTACTTATTTCAGCCACCTCCGCTATTCCCCGCCTATGGAAATTGGCTGAAACTCCAACCGATGTTCTTACTCACTTATTTGAAAGCAAATGATGCAAGCTTGCGTTCAGCATACCATCGGCCAGTAGTGCCCTTTTACGACACGACTGGTCTGAATGGGAAAAGGCGATGAGGAATAAATTTAAATCGAATTGAGTACCCACCTGGCTGAATATAATTGTTTAATTTTCTAAATATTTTTCTTTTTTTAAATCTCAATATTTTTTATATAAGTTATAGAAAGCATGACCATCTTATATATATTCATTGTACACGTTTTTTGTTGGGATTCGTCATGGACATGATATTATCTTTATAATTATTTTATTTCCCCTTTTATTTTCCTTTTTTTTAATTATTTTTTTTCCTTTTATTATATCTCCACCAGTTATTACTCTATAGATATTGTAAATGCTTATTATAGGTCATTATAGTATTAATACACTTACTCTAACAGTTTAAAGTTTCTGAAATCTTCCAATATATTTCGGTTATGTATCTTTATTTAAATTTATGACCACTGCATGATAGAGTTTATTAAATTTTTTATTATAATTATTTTCATATAAATTAATATATTTCAAAATAAAAAATATTTGAAAGAAATGAATGGAGAAATTTGATTGGCGGAAAAAGCAATTGATGACTTATGGTTACGAATGCTCTTAAAGTACACACTCCTGGTACTGTAGTTAATTGTGAGGAGTTGGATATTTATTGAGCCAAGGGATCATATCATTTAGCATGCCAGGCTATAAAATGGTCTCTTTCTAAATCAATGGTAAAAATATTTTAATGTGCAAATCAACTCTTGTTATCAGTTTAGAAGAAATACATTTACTGCAATCATTTTCAGAATTGGGCAGCGATGTTGATAAGGGGAATGGAAGATCTCAGCTTTTCTTATATTGGGTTTACTTAGTCAGAAGAAAAGAATTAGAGGAAAGGAGATTTCATGTTCAACAGGTTATTTCTTACAGTCCAGACAGTATGCAGGATACACAACCTATATATATTTTCAGATTCAGTCCACTCCTTAAGAAATAAGGTCATACATAAAGGTTTAGGTCAATAATATTACACCTTAGGAAGCATTTATTCAGATATTCTCAGACCGTAAGCTCATTTGAGAAAGGTCCTCATCAACCTAATGTTCCTGTCAAATGTTTAAATAGTTATATCTCCTTCATAACATTGTAAAGTGCTACGGAATATGTTAACTTTATATAAACACCAACAATAATGGTAATAATAAAAATAATATATTCATTATTGAAACAAAACTTTAAAAATTGAAAGAGTATCAATATTTTATCCCTTGTATTCAGGGCCGGCGCGTCCATAAGGCTGCACAAGCGGCTGCTTTATGGCACCAGAGCCCAAATTGTAGCCATAAATCTACTTCGGCCCCTATTCCCCCACTACATTTCCTAACCCCATAATTACAGCCCGTACCCTCCACTACAGCCCCTAACTTTTCAATTACAGCCACAACAACCCACTACCAGAGCCATTCCTGAGAATAGGCTCTGGCTCCACCCCTGTTCTGTATGCCTTTGTATGTATGTCTTTGTACCACTGTGTATGTATGTCTTTGTATGCCTGTGTCTGTATGACAGTGTCTGTGTGTGTGTCTGTATGTCTGTGTTTGTATGACATTGTACCATTATGTGTAGATTATATGGCTGTGTGCCTATATTTATTTGATTGTGTGCTGCGTATCTCTGTGACTGAGTGCCTGTATGGCTGCGTGTTGCTGTATTTCTAAGTCTATATCACACACAAAAAGACACAAAATGTGCTGAGGGGAGAGAGTCACAGAAAGGGTCTAGGGGGAAGAAAGAGACACAAAAATAATGGGGAGGGAAACACACAAAGGGGCTGAGGAAAGAAAGCTGCACAAGGGGAGTTATAAGAGACACACAAGACCGTGTATGACAAAGTAAAGGGGGGATACAAAGCACTAAAGAGGGTAAGAAAATCAAAAGGGGGGTTACAAGACACATAGGCAAAGACACATTTTTTTCTTCTAAGGGTGGGGGGCGGCAAAATGCATCTGTAATGCATCTGTAATCTGTAATGCGGCAAAATGCATTTGTGTAGCCAAAAATCCTTACACCGGCCCTGCTTGTAGTGAGTGTGACACCTTTAAATAAGCCGGATAGTTTCACCCATGATGTAATTACTATCTTTGATCATTTTATTATGTAAACAGCATTACATTTTATCTTATATCTTCAATTATATAACTTGCTGATAATAAATAGTCATCTCTCCTTTTTTTACTCTTGAAACATCCATAATTTCTATAATGATTATTATGGTCAGAGAAAAACTGTGCATGTAAAGAAAAATGTAATTAGCCATTCACACAGTAACAGAAAATAGATGGGTTTGGATAACGAGCTTTATAAACTGTAATTATTATCTACAGACTTACTTTTAGCCAAGTGCGGAACTTAAAGAAAATGTTAATGCATTTCTATTTCGAAGCTTCACTGTTAATTATATCTGCTAAAACAGCCCAATAGCATAGATCAAAGAACACTCATTAAATATTTGTAATAGTATAAAGTATAAATTAACTTTGTTGAACCGATATCTAATAAAGAGGTTATTCTATTAAAAGCTTGCTAAAAATATAGGTTATGTAACTACATCAATATTAAAGAGCAGACGAATGGATAAATGGAAAACAGGTAAAGAGTAGGAAAGATGACTAATCCCGAAAGCAATGGATTCTAATTGGGTCCCCGTGCTATTTTAGTTTGTCCCATATGGCCGGAACCAGTGCGTCATATTCATTGGGCCCCAGGCAAGTACCGTTAAATTAGCTGATATAACAGGTCTGCCTTCCTTTGCATGTTGAGACCACTGTAACACTGAAAAGACTTTAATGAAGGTATTTTGCCAAATTAATTGTGTTACATTTAACAGAGCAGATAAAGAATTGTCCACTGAGGTACTTCCGAAATTGAAGGATGAGTCCACAACGCACCTCCCACACCTCACTCCTCTGTCAGTCCCTGCATTGATATAGGGATCAATTCAAAACTTGGTTCTTGCTTAGAAATATCAACATAATGCTGCCCCAACCGACCTATCCTCCCTAATACACAAATATGTCCCATCTAGGCCCCTATGCTTTGCCGAAGACCTACATCTATCCTCTGCTCGCATCCAATACTTCTCTAGGGCTGCATCATTCCTGTGGAACTCCCTTCCCTTCTCTGTTAGATGCTAACCAGTCTCCACTCCTTCAAAAAATCGTTAAAAACTCACTTCTTTGTGAATGCTTATCGATTAACTGTTAATAGCTCCCCCCAGCACCCAGATTCCTCTTGTGCAACTGTCATTTAAAAAACACATTAAGTCTTCAGTGAATTCTATTCTACCAGCCTACTTTTCTACCCCTACCATTACCTTTTGTTTCACTATACCCAACACCATCTAGCTTGTAAGCTCATTGAGCAGGGCCCTCAACATCTCTGTTCCAACTCATCTGGTTACAATAACGTATTTGTTAGTCCACTCATTGTACAGCCCTGCCCTATTTGTTGGTGCTATATAAATAATAATAATAATACCATGTACCTAATTTGGGTCCCTGTGAGAAATAATCACGTAGGGTACAAAAGTTAGGTCGGGGGTGTTAAAATACGGTTCCCAGAGATTATTGGACTTCAACTCTCATCATTATCTGTATTTATTAGGATAAAGGGTTTTAATACATTAAACAGATCAAAGTAATTGAGTAACTATGTAGTTATAAATCATGCTTGTTTGGACTATGCAGGTTAAGAAAATATCCCATTAAACCTTCCTGCTAACAGGACACAGTTAGACCATACAATAACTAATGAATATTACAAGATGTTACACTTACCTGCATTGTATAGCATCCATTATTAATATTCTGCTATTGTAAAGGTAATCTTATGTGCACAGCTCAGAACAGGTCATTATAGTAAGTGTATAGTGTTTGCTTAGATGATTGCCAGACACAAACTGTCTCTGACAGCTGTAAGGTGCGTGCTATACATCTCATAACAGTAGACACTGCAAACACATTACATTTTAAATGCACTAATGAACAGATGCCTTCAATCATAGCCACCTCTTCTCAGGGCCAGACTAACCCACCGGGATACCGTGAAAATTCCCAGTGGGTCGGGATACTAGTGGGCCGGTGTGCAGCCGGTGTGCGGCCGGTGTGTGGCCGCCTAGTGCGCACCGGCCTGCGGGCCGCACGGTGCAATTACAGGGTGACTGGCAGGAGGGGAAACTAATGTGACATAGGGAGCGCTGGGGGGGGGGAACTAATGGGAGAAAGGGAGAGCTGGGGTGGGAGAAACTAATGCGACACAGGAAGAGCTGGGGGGGATCTAATGGGACACATGAGGGCTAGGAGGGGGATATAAGAACACATGGAGGGCTGGGAGGGGGCTTTAGGGACCCATGGAGGGCATGTACAGGAGCATATTGTAGTGTATGTGTAAGTGTACACAAGAGCATAATGCAGTAAATTGCAATGCAGTCAGTTTTTAAGGGTTGGACCCGGTCTGTGTGTGTTATGTGTGTGAATGTGTGTGTGTAGGTGTGGGTTGGGTAGATGTAATTACATTAGGTGTCATGGCTTGGAATAAAATAAGGTGCCTTAGACTGTAATGCTTTACAACAAACGACAGTGGTTTTAAGTTAGCATTAATAATTAACCTTAAGGCTGGCATTGAAACACTGTGTTCCAAAGAAGAAACATGAATTCCTCTCCGTTCTTAAGAAGCCTTAATTTTCCTAGAGACATTTTGCTGTGGGGTAATAAAAAGTTTGTTATTTTTAATGGAAAAAAAGGACAAAAAAGTTACAAATAGACAATCCAATCTTATGGCAAAGTACGTAAAATATATTAATTACTGAAGAAACAGAATGAGTGGTCCTTGAATGTAATAAGGAAACATGTGCAAAAGAAATAGATCACATTCCACCCATTAGAAAATGAATAGTCATTTTGTAAAAAATGCTGCCTAGCAGACTCACTGCCGTATACAAACTCTCTGCAGGCTGCATAGGGAAATTCATTATATCTATCAATAGATTGTTATAGCTTATAGACAAGGTGAATATCAGTAGTAACAGAGGTGTTGCTAGGTTCAAAATAAAAGGGTTTGAGGAACTCAAAGACCCCTCCCAATACCACAGCCAAGAACCATGCAAATGCCACCTTCAGATTCTGCCCCAAATTATGTCACTTAAAAATTATAATTATCATTAAAAAAAAAACAATGTATAGGGTTATTCGATGTAGCACGAACTTCCAAGAATTTCAAAATGAGTTTCAAATGTAAGACTCATTTGGCCGAACTGATATGAATTCTCAGAGTTATCTATGCTGCTATTTGAGCAGTTTTGATTTTACTTTTGAAATTTACTTTAACTTCACTTTGAATGCTCGACAATTAATCCTTCCAGGGATTTATTGCTGTTCCTTTATTTTGACATTCCAACTAAGTTGCCGAATGCACCTATGAAACTGGCAAGTCTCCTATGGTTTCTGGATTCCATGCTACTGTTAGGAAATCACTTTCTATAACCTCACAGAAGGCTAGTTTGTACAATAAAAGTGTCCAGCAGGAAAAGTAACTGATAAATATAGACTTTTCGTGCTCTTACCTGTACGTTCCAAAATATAATTTCACCCGCAGGTCGTACCTTTCTTTACATTTCAGCTAAAGATGTGATTTAATGAATCCGTATGAGAATTGTAGAGTAAATCTTAGATGACAAATGTTTGGGGAAAATGTTGAGAAAAACAAAATACTCTGTGTCACTTTGTTATGAATGTGATAAATATGGATTTACAAACTAATTGTCATTCTCCATCATTCTTTATAAATTTTTATACTATATCTATGTTGGCATTTGGATATCATACAACTCTTTCCAAAATGATAAGTATTCATATGCAGGACAACCCTCCCCCGCCCCCCACCCCTTTCTATTGCCAACATGCTTATGAAAAGGCCTTCTATTAAAATCCCATGGTTCTGACACTTGTGTAACATCAACTAAAATCTCACAACCAGTTCTTTGCCTAGTATTTATTCCCAAGGGAATTAACGAGCATGGGTGCAGTATTTCCTCATAATTAATAATTAGGTATAAGTAGGTACAGGGAAACATCGTGCACCGTTTAATACCCGAGGAAATTAATAACTGAATGCAATTTTCACCAATGGTCCAATCAGTTCCAATTGGTTTTTCCCTCGCCAATACGATGCCCTGAAAGGTTTTGTTACATGTGTGAAATGTGTCCATTCACTTGAAGAAAATAATTTTCGTATTGGTTTATGAATCCAGGAAATATTTTGGATGTAGGAATTCTGGAACTATTTTGGATTTAGAAATCCAGGAAATATTTTGGATATAGGAATCCTGAGAATATTTTGGAATTTAGGAATCCAGTAAATATTTTGGATTTAGGAATCCAGGAAATATTTGGGATTTAGGAATCCAGGAAATATTTAGGAATCCAAGAAATATTTTGGAATTTAGGAATTCTGTGAATATTTTGGGGATATTTTCTCCTAGGGCCTGTGAGAGAGGAGCTTTTTGAAAGGACTTTTTAATGTATTGCATAAAAATATATACTTATTTGCATGATGCCCAATCAGATGCACGTTCCCTGGGCTGTCCCTTTAAATGAATCAATGCTTATCACATCTTACCAACTACAGCCATATGGGGAAAGATAAAACATGTTTTAGGGACTACAAGTAATTACATCAGGTCAGTTGTGTATTCATTAGTCTAACTGTGCACATAAACAGATAATTTCATGTTCCAATATTCCATTTGTTCTTTAATAGAACAGGCGTCTGTCAAAACAAATGTGGTCCGTTGCAACTTCAAAGCTTTGTTTTGGCACATGGTTTCTCATGCAAAACACTACCCTTTTAGATTACTGTCCCATTATTTCTTATTCAAAACAAAAAAGCAGATGAATATCTCACGTGACCTTGTTATATTTAATATGTACAGCTGCAGTAGGGTTTCCTGTACTTTTTATGGCTGTATCGGAAGATGTCCCATTCACATTAATTTTTAGACTGTATTTAAACCTTGTATTTAATACATTTAAAAAAATTAATAATAATTAAAACTAATTAAAAAAAAATATATATATATTTATGTAAAAACAAACAAACTAAAGGTTGGTACAATAGAACCTACCCAGCAGAGCTGTAAGCCTATTCTACACTTTGCTGGTAAACATAGGTAGGGGATCTAGAGCAGTGTTTCCCGAACCAGTCCTCAAGACCCACCAACAATCTAGGTCTTGCCAGTATCTCCATTGTAATAAGACAGGGCACTGCATAAATCCACTAACCCCCACTAACGATTTTGGCAAGTATGGCAAAATATAGACCTTAGGTGCAGAACTTTAATGGGCATGACTATTTGCCAGTCTTAAGTATGTGTGGTCTTAACATTTGCCCGCACATACTTCTGTTTTTTATTTGCTTATTTTGTGGAGCCACATTTTTTATGTAAAGTTTATCATAGCTCATACAAACATGGTGGAGCCTGGGGATAATACTGTGAAGACATAGACAGGTTTATTCCACAAGCCTTGAATTGTTGGGAATTGGCCTTGGTATTTCTAATTGTATTAGACAAATTAGGAAAGATACAATCCTCAAAATAACCACCAAAAGTGTACAAAGATTATGTTTAGCAATAAGGAGATACAACACGCATATAGGGAACAGAGAATATATAGTATCTCCAGTTTAATGTAAATATATTACTCATTTTATGCCAAAATGGTGGAGCTGGGAACAGATTTGAAGGTTTTTTTCCATCTTGCACAGAATTTGAAATTCCATGGTCAATAATTCTTTCTGTGTACTGATAATCAGTCATTTTCCATCTTTGTCATTTCGCATTGTGAATTGAGTAGGGCACTATTTGGCCAATTAAAGCTGCAATTGATCAACTACCTTTGTTATTGATTTTGAGGTTCTGATAAGATATACCACAATGTGACAAACATACTGGAGTATCAGGTCCGATGAATTAATGTGATGGTGACTACACTGCTTAATGTAAAATTTACTACGCAGGGCTGTATTCAAGAAGTGTTCATTCAAAGCAATTTTTTGATTATTTATAAGTGTAACTCACAGATTTATCTATCATTCAGCAATCCATGTTTGTTGTGACACCTCTAAAGATAGCATGTCGCTGTTGTGTGCTTTGATGACGACAGTTAATGGTAAAAATAAATGGTGGAATAATTTTGCGATGCTCTGAACAACAAGTAACATGTTATCTGATTTCCTCCTACAGTTGGAGCTCTGCCACTTGATAAAGGAGAACATCCAGAAGAAATGGTATGTTACAACTGGACATTCTGTTATTGCTTGGCCGTGTTTTGATTTATTTATATTGATTTCACTACTCTCTGTTGATTATATTGCTGCTTGCACATTCCGCCGTGAGGGTTCTTGTTATTGATTAGATAGCAGGGGAATTCCTTTTCTTGCTAGTTAAGAGACCCAATCAATAATCTGCCAAATAGAGTCATTAAAACTCGATGCTTTGATGGACAATGTCGAATTGTTTTTCCTGTGAATACAATTTTCTGTAGTGTGGAACTGAGGATGCAACCTATTGCTTGCTGTGAGCATAAAAAACCATAAACATTACCAGTTACTCTAGTCACTTTGTTCAAAATAGTTTTATAGATAAATGAGATTAGGAGCCCTAAAATACTCGTTTATGGTGACCTTATAGGCTTCCCATTTTGAGCAGAGGGAGCTGGAAACTCACTTTTCAAAAAAGCTGCTTGAAGGCCTAGTTGACAAAAAATAATGGGACAATACCCTACGGGGTGTAGATAGTAAAATACACTGGCTGTTAGTTTAAAACACACTAACAAGGTTCTTCACTGAAATGAGAATTGTTGACAATTCAAAATGAATTCAAAATGAATTTTAAATATAAGGAGAGAGTATCTGAAAAGCTGACTTGGAGAGTCTTGCTGTTTAGAGTATTTTGGCGTTAAATTTGAAATCCACTTTGAATTCTCTCTTTACTGGCTAATGCTACAAGTGCTTCAATAGACTGGAGGGCACCACGAATATTCGCTATGTAATTAAATGATACATTCTACAATAACTGGTTTCAAATATAGCTTTTATAGTGTATAGAATCCTGCACAACAATTCATACAGTATTAGGTCAAATTGTAAAATAAAAAAAATAAAAAAACAAATCATAGGAAAGAATTAAAGTAACAGAAAACTAAGACAGTTATTCACATTCTCAAAAGTTCAGATGCACGTGATCATATCGCGTCTTGTTATCTTACCCCTGGACTGTAGAGCTTGATATCTGTATTTGTCATTTTATTCTAATAAAGAGTGTTTACCAGGCACACCGTCACATTTTCAGGAGTTCTTTTTTGTTTTTAACAAAATCCAATAACAGGTAACATTTTAACCTTCCTAAGTCTTTATCAATCCATCAAGCTTTGATGAAGACCTAGGAAGGTTGAAATATTGGCACGTTATAGATTTTGGTAAACTAAGGGTCTATTATAGATCCTGCCGTGTCTTTGGGACGCTTTGTCTGTTGAAATACATTAACCAGATACTGGGCAGTTTAAATGTTGACAATATTCAGTGACATTCTAGAATGGATTTTTACATGGATGTCTGCGTAGACTATCAATAAATATAGCTCTCTATCAGTCCTGTTTATTTGCTACATGATTTAATTCACTATTTTTTTACACAATTTTTATTTTATTGATAGCACAACAAAACAGCCCCATATGGATACACATGAAAACAATAAGAAAAACATTCACGATATATATATTAATCATATAAATAAATAAAATATTGTATCCCAAGAATCCATAAAAACGGGCTTTGGTCACAGTTTTGTTTCCAGTTTGTTCACGATTATACTTTCAGTGCTGTGTTATTACCGTGTGTCAGTAACTGCCCCCAAAATCATTGGGACTCTGAAACATTGATTTCAGGCAACCTTTTATTCAGCCTCAAGGACAAATCGTCTCACCTAGCTGATTCCTCAGTAAAACTCAAAAATGGTTTCCAACTGTTATACATAGACCCAGGCATTCCATGGAGTGCTTATTGCTGGTCCTAAAGGGTTACTTCAACCACCATGACCACTACAATGATTTGAAGGGTCATGGTGGTAGAAGTCAGTATGTGCAGTGTTTCAGCTTCATACTGAGATATTTGCGGTTGTGTGCTGGGGGCTATTTACACATGGCTGGGGGCTAGTTTCACATGATCCATCATCAGTGCGTGTGGCAACAGATGTATTGCCAGTCAGTTCCCCACCCCCACCCCCAATAAATTGGCTCAGATTGCACGCATGTGCTATAAGATGGCAAAATGGTGCAATCACAGGCTTCTCCATGAGAAGACTGTGTCTGGACCACAGAAGGCATCATCTAATGTCAGAAAGGGGCATGGAAAGCAGTGCCGGGAGCTTTGCCCAGTGCTGGACACCTGGTAAGTAAAACAATTTTTAGAGGGGGGGGCTAATTAATTGTGCCCAAAAGGGCATTTTACAGAGAAAAGGCCCCCCCCCCCCAAAAAAAGAATGGAGTAACCCTTTAAAGCTGCAGTTACCACAAAATTTAGCTTGATTAACTTGGGTAACCTTGAGAATTTCCATACAATAAAAAGCACAAACTGAACTTATAGAATGTGATAGAGAAGCGGGAGAAATGGGATAGAGAAAGAAATAAAAGAAGGGGATATTGGCCAACTCCTTAAATAGGTGCACTAGCACCTAGCAAAGGGCAGTTCAATGACACCTACTAAAAATGACCAAAGTTCAAAAATATCTACTGAAAAAATATCTACTGAACCAAAATACGGTAATTCGAGCCATCCAAGTTATAAAAACCTTGATGGGGATACCACAGGTAGAACTCATTTCATGTAGTATGATTGTCTTCTATAACTGATATTCCTGCATGGAGCCAGTTGCAGTTGCCAGGGTGCATTCTGGAATGCACATCTCTTGGTATTCTAGAGAAGTTGGGTTTTCTGCCTGATAGTAAATTTTATAAAATAGTTAGAGCACAGCTTTCCAAACTTTGTGACGTGACATGTTAGTGTGTCGGCTGCACAGTCTAAGTGTGTCATGCAAATGAGGTGTGCGACCGGAAGGGGAGCACATTGCTCCCTTCCTGCCAGTCACTCCATGTATGTGTCTTAGCAGGTGGACCGCGGTAGAGGAGCTTCTGTTTCTACTACTCGGTCTTACAGGACGTACTCACTGAGAGCACATAACTGCTTCCTGTTAGACCAGGTAGGGAAAACCCAAAGCTCCTCTACCATGGTCTGCCACTACATTGAGGGAAGTGAGGCTGAGCAGGAACAGGAACAGGGGAGGGGACAAAAATGGCATAGGAGGGGAGGGGTGACAGAAGATGGGCACAGGAGGGTGTGGGACAGAAGAAGGGCACAGGAGGGGAAGGAGCGCAAAAGAAGGGCATAGGAAAGGAGGAGGAACAAAGAGACACACAGAGGGGCTTGGGGGAAAAAGACACACAGTGGGGGAGAAACAGATGCATAAAATTACTAAGGGAAGAAAGAGGCCGGCCAGCCGCAGTCAGCCTGTCTGCCAACCAACCAGTCACAGCAGCCAAACAGCCACAGCAGCCTGATTGTCAGCAGCAGCAACCAGCCAGCTGCTGCCTGACAGCCACAGCAGCCAGCCAGCAACAGTAAATAGGGTGAGAAGAGCTGACTTGGGCTGGCTATGTTATATTACTATATTGTGAATAGGCACCAGAGTGTTAGAGAGATGGTTGAGGCATCAAACATGTACTGCGTATGCACAGCATGCAGAATTCGGTTGAAATGGATGATTCTACGTCATTTGAAGTGAGGTGTTCAAGTAATAGAACACAGTCTCAACACAGTCTCAACTGCCGCTGTATCGCAATATGATGCATGTTTGAAAAGTATGTCATCAACATGAAAAGTTTGGAAAGCTCAGAGTTAGAGGAACACAAACAGTATTTTTCCTAATTAGATTTATGGATATCTTTAGATCCCTTTCCCTTAGGGAAGCATTGAGGGGCTAATTTGCATGTGCAGAAAGTGCCGCGTTGTATCAATCAGCATCTCTCTTCATAGAGATGTATTGGGTCAATGTATGTCTATGCAGAGCATTCAGTATCTTCACGCAGCTCATTAAGACATCTAATGTATGGAAGACCACTCCAGGAAGCACCCCTGGTGACTGTCTGAGTGAAAGCCACTATAGATGACCTTAGAACACAATATAACCTGCCTAGTTCTAACAATTCTCTTTTCTAGCTCATTTGTAAGACTTTTTATATCTTAAATTAAAAAGCAGCTACTTAATGTCTGCCATTGTGATAGTGTCATAGATAAAAGGTACATAAAGGGTTAAAGCCATCAATAGTAGAGGGCCAAGAGTGCCTGTTTACTCAAGAGTTACAGCGGATATGAGGATTTTGAAGTTCGCTTTCTGTGTTTGAAGAAATAATAACGAAAAACAAAAAAGAACAGAAAAATCTCTGTTTATCAAGTTTTGTATTATGCTGCCAATGTCTCCAGCTACTGATCCACCTCAGAATGTAGCTCACCAGCGTCCAGGCTCTGCCATCTAAGTTTTATTTTGTGTTGGAAATTAGGTATCCCAGGTGATAATTAAAGCATGGGTCATCTCTAATAAACCATTTATAAAAAAAAAATCTACAAAATTCTGATCAGACCTAAAAAAAAATCAGGTTTTATTTACTGAAACTCATAGCACATAACACATAGCTGCAAAATTTGGGACAAAAAATGTTCACTTGGAAAATGCTCCAGTCAAGTTATAGTCACAGTTTGTGTATTTTAGAACAGAAGTTGCAATTCAATTAAAAATTTCGAATTTCAATTTAAACTTAGGAAAGACATTTGGGTTATATTCAGGAATTCACCAGATAACTAAAAACAGCCGTATTAGAAACATCCTCTCCCAGCGCTCTTTCAGTGTTTCTTTCTCTGGCTCTGCTTCTTCTCCCCAACTCCTCTCTGTTGGTGTCCTTGGTCCCCTACTGTTCTCCATCTATACTGCCATTTCTACGCAGATGACACGCAAATCTACCTGTCCTCTCCTGATCTCTCCCCGTCCCTCTTGACTAGTGTCTCTGACTGCCTCTCTGCAGTTTCTAACTGGATGGCTGCCCACCTCCTTAAACTAAACTTGACCGAAACTGAGGTTCTGGTCTTTCCTCCCTCAAGTGTTGTTACTCCTGTGTCTGTCTCCCTCCAAGTCAATGGTGCTACCATCAGCTCCACCACACAGGCTCGCTGCCTAGGTGTTCTCTTTGACTCCGACCTCTCCTTCAAGCCTCATGTTCAATCTATCGCCAAATCCTGTCATTTCCATCTCAAAAACATTGCGCGCATCCGCCCCTACTTAACGCCAGATGCGACTAAGGTGTTGGTCCATTCCACTGTCCTTTCTCGCCTTGACTACTGTAATCTGCTTCTCAGTGGTCTTACGTGCTCCCAGCTAGCGCCGTTACAGTCCATAATAAATGTGGCAGCGAGGCTCATCTTCCTGTCCGCCTGCACCTCCCATGCCTCACCCTTCTGTCAGTCCCTACATTGGCTTCCTATAAAATATAGAGCTCAATTTAAAATTCTGGTTCTTGCTTTCAAATCTCTACATAATGCTGCTCCCACCTATCTATCCTCCTTTATACACAAGTATGTCCCGTCTAGGCCCTTACGATCTGCTGAAGACTTACGTCTATCTTCTGTCCGTACTCCCACCTCTGATGCTCGCCTTCAAGATTTCTCGAGGGCTGCACCGTTCCTGTGGAACTCGCTTCCCTCCTCCGTTAGATGCTCACCCAGTCTCCACTCCTTCAAAAAATCGTTAAAAACCCACTTCTTCATAAAAGCGTATCAATAACACTGTTAATAGCTCCTGACTGATTCCTCTTCTTCAACTGTCACTAGTCTAATACTATCCTTACCTTTTTGTGTCATTTTACCCCACTCCCTCTAGCATGTAAGCTCATTGAGCAGGGCCCTCAACCCCTCTGTTCCTGTGTGTCCAACTTGTCTGGTTACAACTACATGTCTGTTCGTCCACCCATTGTAAAGCGCTGCGGAATTTGACAGCGCTCTATAAATATAATAATAATAATAATTATTATTATTATTCCCGATCACCTATTTAATTGTATTTCCCTTGAGAATTCCTGACAATTCACAGTTTAGTGAATTACCCTGAAGGTTTAGGGAATAAAGTCCAATATTATTGCTGAAGCTAAAAATAATGACCATACGTGTTTCTTCTCTCTCCTGTGACCAGATTCTGCAGCTCAAACATTATGTTTGCCCTATTTAGCATTATTCACTAAAATGCGAATTGTGAACTCAACGTAATTTGAAACAACATTTTGAATTATAGGCCACAATAGCCAAATTGGAAAAATATTTACAAGTCAAGCCATGTTTCAATCTCATACATTTAGGCTTAAAATTTGAAATTGTCCTTGAATTCACTTTGACAGTCCGATGCGTGTTTGTTTGGCTGTAGCTCTGGCAGGCTGAAGATTATTGGTAATGTAGTCAACAAAATCAAGTGAGGAGGTTTAGGTTCATAACCTGCTCATTGGAAATTGTTAAATACTTCCTTTGTAGCTCGATTATCTCTTTGATATAATTACTCCGAGGTCTGGAGAAATTGTTATATAATTGCACATGTAAATTAAATAATCAAAGTGGAAGTGAATTTTAAAATTTATGGAAAAGGCATTTTTTATATAGAAGCCTTCTAGAGTGTCTCTTTTATGTTGCCATGGGAACAAATCAGATTATGTTTGGGGTGCATACGCTTTAGTGGTTCATGTCTTCTGACAGATAGAAGTTACTGAAGTTAATGAACGTCCAGAATATCATAACCAGGTTGTTCCAGTATTTTCAAAATGGAATCCATTTAGCCTTTTCCTGCTATACTAAAACTTGTCAGTGTGGGAATTATGAGTTCTTGAAGAAATGGAGAAAAATCCCATTATTATCAAGTAGTTTGACAAAGGAGGAAAAATCGTAGTCTTGACTTGTGACACCTACTGCCAAGCATCCCGAAGATATATAGTGGATCATTACATCTCTGTCCAATACCTTGAGGACCTCACTAAAACCTTTTTGACAATCTTGTTTTTATTGGAGTTTAAGGTAGTTGTTACATAACACATAACATATACAGCTAACAATAAGTTGTAGGCAAGTTGTGTGTCGCAATTACCCTTACATCAGCTTTATAATGAAACCCCCTCCCCCCGCCCCCCCTCACATTGGTATCTCTATCTTCTGTATTCTCTATCTCCTAACTTTTGTCTTTTCCCCTTCTTTTCCCCATCCCTCCCCTTCTTAACTAGTGTCTGGCTTGCAGTGTGTAGTTCTAGGTCCACTATGTATTCTTTTGTACGTAATCCACTTTGATCTCGTGTGTTAGTCTCAGTGTCTGGTCTTTCTTTGACCGTGGGTTATATCCTCCCCATGTCCTGCTCGTCAAGCCATGAGGCGTGTGCAACTGCCTATGAAAGGTTGATGCGGTCCCTGTGCCTAGCGTCCGCGCTGCTGTGGCAAGCAAGGCTTAAGATGTATGGGCTTTACTCTGCGGTGTGGGCAACCTATAGTAATTGCTATACTTTATCCTTCCTTGTGCATTTTAGTTGCTATTTTCTAGTTTGTGTCTCCGTCGATAGTTTTAGGATGTGTGGCTGCAGGTGGCCTTTAGCTAGTCTTTTGACATCGGCTTGGTCAAGCTGTCTGGGCTTGTATGTCGGGCATGAGCACTAGTCTCAGTGTCCAGTGTAGTCTACCTAGATGCATTGGTTGACCGTCGATGGCGGTTGTGTGATTATCGTGGTTCCTTGTGTCGTTGCGGAGTCGTCTTTCTGGCCGTTTGTGCTTCTTTCCCTATTTGTCCGTGTGTTCCCCAATGTTCGTTGGGGTGTGGATTGTGTTGTCTAGAGTAAGTCCGCCCCCATCCCTTCCCTCCTCCCCCCCGCTGCCACCAGGTCTCCCCCCGTATTCGTCTGTGTTGCCGTTTCTGGCCCCCACCCCCATGTGTCTCAGCCCCGACCCTACCTGCTTCCTAGTTCGTGTGACTTGGGCATCCCTTGCCACCTTGGCCTCCCCCCCTCCCGCCCCCCCCTCTCCTTCCTCGGGGTGAACTTCCAGAGGTCGCTCTGGGTTTTGCGAGTTTTATCTGTCCGTCTATTAGTGGTTGATTAGGGTGTCTGTGTTAGGCATGTGTTGTGTGTTGTGTTCTTGTGGTCCATGTCTTCTGACTCGTTGTTTCCACTGTTTTGATGCGGTCTCGTGCTGCACGTCAATTGTTCTGTCTGTTATGTAGTTTATGTGTGACTCCTGTCGTGTGTTGAGGGGGAGAGGGAACTAGGGCAGGGGGAAGAAGCAGCAGATGCCCGTGAGTTTTCGTCACCGCGGCAGTCCGATAAGGCTGCCCGCACCGCGACAGCCACGGTGCCCCCCCCCCCGCACCCCACTCCGCCTCGTCCTCTTAGCCATATAGTCCATCCACGGAAACCAAGTTGTGGCGCATATTTCCGTACGTCCCTGCAGGGAGGCCGTCATCATTTCCATGTTATATATATTTTCCACCCTGTCAACCCATTGTTGGAAGGTAGGCGCCGTACGGCTTTTCCAGTGTGTCGGTATTAGTGTTTTCGCAGCTGTGAGCAAGTGTATGGTCAGGCCCTTTTTGTATTTCAGCAGCGGTGTTTGCGTGTGATTGAGCAGCATCGTCAGGGGCTTCAGCGGAAGGTCTGCATCAGTGATTTCTCTAATTGTTTGGTGGATCTGCCGCCAGAATGGCTCTATAAGTGAACACGACCACCAGATATGAAGCCTCGTGTCCGGTTCTCTTCCACATCTCCAGCATTCCCCGGGTTTTGACTCGTGCACATGGCGTAGGATATCTGGGGTCCTATGCCAGCCAGTCAGTATTTTATAATTACATTCCTGATATTTGGAGCATATGCTTCCTCTGTGCGTCAATTGGAAAATCTTGTCGCATTCGATGTCCATGAGTGTTGTTCCCGTCTCCTGCTCCCAGTGTTCCGTGAAGCCAAGGGGGGTCCTGCCTTCCTGCTGCTGAAGCATGGCATACAACGTTGATACCCTGTGCATGAGGTGCCGCCTATCCATGCATGTCTGTTCCAGAGGTAGCAGCGGTCGGTGTATGTGGTCTTTTCCCGGTAAGGAGGTGTAGTACGTTCGAAGTTGATAATAGCGGAATTCATCCAGTCTTGTCTGGCTATGCTCTGGTACCAGTTCCTTTAGAGGTTTAAGTGTTGAGTCTGTGCACCATTGCCGCAGGTATGTCCAATCCGACGCAGGGAAGTTCTTTAGGTCTGCAGAGTTAAGCCCTCTTGCCATTCTTGGGTTGTTGGTTATGGGGTAAGCGGGTTTGGTACCGTAGTGAGTTGTTTGGCGTATCTAATCTTACACCATACTCGCAGTGTGGAGTCGATCATCGGGTTTCCTGTGCGTATGTCTCCCAGAACTGTACCACCTAGCGACAGCAGGGAGGGGAACCGTCCCTGTGCCTGCTGCATCTCCATGTCAACCCACTGTTTGGTGGACGGCTTTGTGTGCCAGTCCACTAATCGGCAGAGGTGGGTCGCCTGATAGTAGGAGAGTACCGACGGAAGTCCTGTTCCTCCTGCGTTTTTCGGCCGCTCCAGGATTGTCCTACGAATACGTGCCTGTCCCTGGTTCCAGACAAATTTCCGTATGATGGTTGCTAGGGATTGGAAGAATAACCGCGGGATAGTCGTAGGCAGCGCCTGGAACAGGTATAAGATTTGTGGCATAACGTTCATCTTTATAGCATTAATCCGCCCAAACCATGAGATGTACTGAGATGTCCATTTTTTCAGGTCCCTTTGTAGGATCGTGAGGAGGGGTGTAAAGTTCAGGGGATATATGTGCTTGAGCTCGTTTGGTAACCAGATTCCCAGATACCTGAGTTTTGACTGGCATAGCCTGAACGGGAAGTGCATTTGGAGGTGTTGCAACATGGCGTTGCCCGGGGCCAACGGCATCGCTTCTGATTTATCCAAGTTGAGTGCAAGGTTGGAGACTGCGGAGTACTCCTTGAATGCTTCCAGCAGGTTCGGGTTTTGATACCCGTGGTTGATCCAGGAAAAAGACCATGTCGTCCGCATAAGCCGCTACTCGATGTTCTCCCTGGCCTACACGGAACCCCGTAATACCCCCGTCTGACCGCCTCCAGAAAGGGTTCTAGAGTGAGGGCAAACAGAAGGGGGGACAGGGGACAGCCCTGCCTCGTGCCATTGTACCATAAACGGTTCGGTGATGTTGTCCGAACCCCATGTGCCGCATAGATTCCATAAGAAACGTCCAGTCCACGCAGACAAACGCCTTTTTTGGCGTCCGTGGAAAGGAGCACCAGATCTCGCTTGTTGGCCTTCGCCACGTGGATCACATTTAGGGCTCGGATTGTATTATCCTTCTTTTTGTATTGTATTAGCCTCTCTTCCTGGAATAAAACCGACCTGGTCGGGGTGGATGAGGTTGGGCGCCACCCGGGCGACCCTTAGCGCCATGGCCTTGGCAAATACTTTCAGATCGGCATTCAATAACGATATTGGCCTGTAACTCGCGCAATTTGTGGGATCCTTACCCTCTTTTGGAATGAGTGCAACGGTTGCTCTCAGTATGTCTGTAGGAAACTGTCCTTACGTACGCAACGAGTTGAAGCCCTCCAAGAGTCTCGGCAGAAGGATGTCCTTGAACGTGCGTAAGTACGTTACTATCAGACCATCCGGGCCAAGTGCCCTGTGGGGTTTTGCCACTTTCAGTGCCCCCGCTAGCTCCTCAAGTGTCAGGGGTTGGTCCAGTTCGGCTTCTTGTTCCGGAGTCAGCTTGCGGGCGACATGTCTGCCCAGGTAGGCGGCAACTCGTTCCTGGTGACGTCGTGTCTTGGAGTCCGATCGGTTTCTTGTTTGATCATATAGTGCCGCGTAATATTTGTGGAATGCGTTCAGGATGCCTTCGGGGAGGTGAGTGACTGTTTGCCCCTGTGTGCGAATCTTATGTATATGTCGCGCCCTTCGCTTCTCCTGGAGCATTTTCGCGAGCATTTTGCCGCATTTGTTAGAATGCTCGTAAAAGAACCTAGTTGTTTTTCGCGCAGTTTGGAGCTGGCCCTGGGCGAGTATAGCGCGGAGCTCTCTACGTGTCTCCATTAGGAGGAAGTAGGTCTGGTCGTCCAGCGTGCGTTTATGTTCTTGCTCCAGTTCCACCACACGTCTGGACAGACGAACTATGCGTGCAGTGCGCTCTCTTTTGCGCTTGGCGCTGATGGCTATGAGGTGTCCCCGGATGACACACTTATGTGCCTCCCAGAGCGTTAGTAGTGCAACTTCCGTTGAGCTATTGGTCGTGAAATAGTCGGTCAAATTTTATGTTACCGTGGTAGTCAGGGCGGGATCATCTAGGAGGGTCTCGTTTAGTCTCCATTGCCTTTCCGTGGGTTTGAATAGTGGGGCACTCGTGTGTGCTATCATCGGTGCGTGGTCAGATTGTTCTATGCTCCCTATCTCCGAGCCCTGCAATACCGACAGATATTCTTGTGCGAGGAATATGTAGTCTATTCGGCTGTAATGTGCACGGACGGTCGAGTAATTAGTGTAGTCTCTGTCTTCAGGATGACTCGCCCTCCAGCAATCCACCAATCCCGTTTTATGCAGTGAGCGTAACGTTGCCTGTAGGCAGTGTGCGGGGATCAGGCGAAGCCCCTGGAAGTGTCCAGGCGTGGGTCCAGTGGAAGATTTAGGTCTCCCGCTACCACCAGCAGTCCCTCCCTCACTAAAACCTTTTTGGTCACTATTCTAAAATGTGTTTATTAAGGTATAACATAAGGATTTATTAGTGAAAGAGAGAAAAACATTCACCATCAAGTTAAACCCCAAAGTGTTTTATTACCACATACCACCAGTGACGTACTAAGTGGGCTGCTGGGGGAGAGGAGGGAGTGGTCCGCCCCTGGTGCCACCAGGTAGGGGGTGCCATGATCCTGGTCTGGGTGTTGGAGGGGTATGTGTGAGCTGTGCCTGATGGCAGCTGCGGTGCCTGATGACCAGCACAGCTCACACACGCAGAGACCAGCAATAACCAGCTGAACAGGCCGCACGGAAGGAAAGTTGGGGTGAAGCTAAGAAAAGTTGGGGGTGGAGCCAAACCGGCAGCAGGGTGGTTCTTACCTCGGCCCTTACCTACTGCTGTTACTGCTGCACATGGAGTTGCAGCAAGGAGGAATACCTGCTTTTCCAACTAACAGGCTCCAAGGAAGGACTTCAGTGAATCCACACCTCCTCCAGCCCACTGTCTGTAAGTAAGAGGTTGTGTGTGTGACTGCCTGCCTGTAAATGTGTGTGTGTGTGTGTGTGTGTGTGTTAGACTGTCTACTTGCCTGTAACTGTGTGTATGTGTGAGACTGTCTGCCTGCATGTAACTGTGTGTTTGTGTGTGTGTAAATGTCTGCCAGTAACCGTGTGTGTGGCAGACTGTCTGCCTGCCTGTGTGTGTGTGTGAGACTACCTGTGACTGTGTGTGACTGTCTGCCTGTGACTGTGTGTGACTGTCTGCCTGTGAGTGTGTGTGACTGTAACTGTGTGTGACTGTATATGTGATTGTCTGGCTACGACTGTGTTTGACTACCAGTAACTTACTGTGTGTGTAACTGTCTGCCTATAACTTTGTGTGTGACTGTCTGCATGGGACTATGTGTGTGTGACTGTCTGCATGTGACTGTTAGATGTTGCCTGTAACCATGTGTGTGACTGTCTGTGACTGTCTACCTGTAACTGTGTGTGACTGTAACTATGTGTGTGTTACTGTCTGCCTGTGACCGTGTGTGTGTGACTGTATGTGTGACTGTCTGCCTGTAACTGTGTGCGTGACTGCCTGGCTATAACTGTGTATGACTGCTTGGAACTGTGTGTGTAACTGTCTGCCTGTAACTGTGTGTGTCACTGCCTGTGACTGTATGTGTGACTGTCTGCATGTGTCACGTATTCATCCGCTTATAAAAATGTGCTTAATGACATTTACTGTCCACACAGGAAAAGTTGTGCCGAGCAGCAACCTAATCCACAGAAGGGTTAATGCTGAGCAGCAATTATGCAAATGAAACCTGGTAACTGACTTTGGGGTCAAAGGCCGGTTACAGCCTATCAGATCTAGAGGAGCGGTATTTAGGCCCAGTTCTCATCCTGCTCAGTGCCCTGTTGTGGTTTCCCTTGTGGTTGTCTGAGAGCGCGTTCCTGTTTAGTTTTCTACCTGGTTTTTGACTTTGGCTTTGTTTATTGACTTCTCTATATTCTGGTATCCTGACTCCTGGCTTTCCTCATCGTTGCATCCCTTTCTGTGTTCCCTGACCTCGGCTAGTATTTTTGACTATTCTATGTACGTTAAATCCAGCTATTCTAAGGACCGGTAATACGTTACTTATTTGTCATCCGTGCTATACAGTTCTACGTGCTGGATCAAACAGTAATCCTGACAGCATGTGACTGTGTGCGTGTGACTTTCTGCCTGTAACTGTGTGTGTGACTGTATGCCTGTAACTGTGTGTGTGGGGTGCAGGGGTTTGTAGGAGAGGGGCAGGACAGGGGTTTTGTAGAAGGAACTGATAGGGGTTTTACAAAGTTTACAAATTGTGCAATACATAAAAAAAAAAGAAAACGTAAAAAAAAATTAAGGTTTATTTATTTTTATTTTTTTGTGGAGGGGGGGATGACAAACAGATGACCCGCCCCGGGTGGCAAATGCTCTAGGTGCACCCCTGACTGCAAGACAATTTCATTTGGATTTTATTGGATGTATCTTTCCTTCATGTTTGCAATCCCCAAATCAAATGGTCTTGAATAACTTAGCAATTACTTGGTACAGTGTTTTAGCTTTCTTGAGCCATTATATCGCAATTTGTCAATTGTTCTGAATTTGTTATGTGTCACAACTTTTTAGATTTCGAAGGGTCTTACTACCATCAGAGATGTGGCATTGGTGGTCTCTACAAGGGTTGGTGGGAGTGGTACCCCATCTTTAATGTTGGTAACCCATTTCAAAATGTACTATTACTTGTGTTACCTTGTCAACCTGCTACTAATGTGGTTCAAAGTTTTCCAATATATTAACGCATTTATAAACTAATTAAACAACAATAATTGGAATTTAAAGTTCATGACAAATATCATTATCTCATTTCTGAATCTTAACCTAATTAGTTCCAAAATGTCATACATACAGAAAAAAATCTGAAAAATATGCAGGCAGTTCTATTTTGCATGCATAAAGTTGTCATCCATTTATGCACAAATTGCTTTGACTTTATAACTTTTGAAAATCATGCCCAGGACTTAAAAACATCAATTAAAACAACTGAGTTATTCTCCTGAATGTATTAACAAAGCATATCCTATAGCTAAAAGTAAGAATAGAACAGATCTGATAAAGGATGACAAACATTCACTTAAATGTAGAAATCAATGAAGTGAAAACAAATCCCCCGTCTTTGTAACTGAATGCAGCAGGGAGTTTAAAGAGATCACAAAAAAATCATTACAGAACACTCTTCACAGTTCTCACGTTGAATCCCTTCGATGCGGAAATATTGCAGAATAATGTCCAGTGTATTTTCAGGAAAATTAAAGCATTGGGCTCAAGACTGTTACCAAGCCATTTTTTGGATATTGACAGAGACTTGGCTCGAGTATGTGGGAATGTCTCATTGTGGATCCAGGAAATCTTGAGTACAAAATGAGTAAAAAATTTGTCTCAGTCAGATCCTATATAAATTGTAATTTAGCATGTGTAATGTATTTCAGAACCTTTAAACTCTGTAAGAACCAATATGTGGCCTTCAATTTATGAACCTTGAAGGAGAAGATAAGAGAACATCACATGGACACGAGTACGATCTCCACTATTTGTATCCACAAGCATTTTAGTAAATGTTTAGGTAGTTTTAAGTTTTCCTTTCAGGTGATTAAAAACAAATGAACATTCATCTATGTAAAGAAAACCAAAAATGTGTTACTAACGCAAAGTCTGTATCTTTACAATTCAGACCGAGTAACTAAAGGATGTTAGTTATGAGCAGGACCTTAAAGGACCACTCTAGGCACCCAGCTCACTTCAGCTAGGGTTAACCCATTTTTTTATAAACATAGCAGTTTCAGAGAAACTGCTATGTTTACAAATGGGTTAATCCTTCCTCCAATTCGTCTAGCGGCTGTCTCATTGACAACCGCTAGAGGCGCTTGCGTGATTCTCACTGTGAAAATCACAGTGAGAGCACGCAAGCGTCCATAGGAAAGCATTTTAAATGCTTTCCTATGCGACCGGCTGGATGCGCGCGCAGCTCTTGCCGCGCATGCGCATTCAGCCGAATGGGAGGAACGGAGGAGGATCGGAGGAGGAGAGCTCCCCGCCCAGCGCTGGAAAAAGGTAAGTTTTTACCCCTTTCCTCTCCCCAGAGCCGGGCGGGAGGGTGTTTTAGATTATTTCTACCACTTCGTCTTTATTATTATTTTTTTTTAATTGTTCTTTTTTTCTATAATGTCTAAGTCAGAAAATGTTGAGATTTTGTATAACAGGGCTATATTGGTCTAAAGTTTGCAATTTGGTCACCAATGCACAATGGCTCACTATTAGTATACTATATAGTCAACAGAATTATCTAGGATTATAATCAGTCCTCATCTTTTCAACAAACGTCATGTAAAGCAGAACAACAACAACTTTTAGTAGGCTGTAAGCTTTCATTAACATATCATACTTTGCGAATTTGTGATGGTCATAGCCCTTCAGCTTAAAAGTCATTCGTATGTTTTATTCTTGATTTATTTTATTTTCCTCTTGTATAAATTACTGTGTTCACTGAATTTTTTACACACAACAGTTGGTCAGTGTAACCATCTGAATGACGGACAGCATCTTGAGAAGCACTGTGGATCTGCGCTCAATGCATTTAAATTTCAGCTTTGCAGGGAAGAAAGACCAGAGTGTGTCCTCCGCCCCCACCCCGATATATTATTGATATGGTCACCGGCAGGGGAAATTCAGCCTTAGTTAGTACTTACTACTGAGTGCTCTTTGAACCTTCCAGGCTTGCAGTGAGAAGCAATTCATTTTTTAATTTTGAGCCCTGGTTATGGCAAAACAGCTTTGCATAGATTAATATGTGCTACAATGTATCAATAGTGATATTTTCCTGCTAGTTCCCAATGTTTGTTTCTGATATCATTAAAATCTTGCCCCCTTAGACCGTGTGCTGCTAGAAAATTCCCTACATATTTAGCCTTAATACACACAGCCTTGCCATAAAATTGGCAGGACATTAATTTTGAAACAGGATCTTGAATTGACTGGTTTGTTATGAGTGGACCTTATGGGGTTAAGTATATTTCAAAAGCATGTCCTAATTAAAAGCCTCTGGTGAATTTGTGACCCACTGTGAAATGTTCTGGGATTAAATTGTAAAACAAACACTAATCCCTTGTTTAAATTAAATATAGATTATGGTCTAGAAGGCAGATGTTAACATTAAAATCCCTGCATAAAAACTGCCATTTTAACTAATACCATGAAAAGTTGGGGTGGGCGGTGGGGGGCAGAGGACGTGAAAATCTAAATGCTCCTCTTGAAGCCTTCAGAAAATAATTCGGAACTAGCACTCTGCTTTATGGCTGTTTTCCAGGATGTTTGTGACGAAGCAAGATTTTAATCTGTTTTTTTTTGGGGGGGGAAATAACATTTTTATGAAAATAACATTTATTGCACTCGATAAAAAAGAAATCTGTTGAACGTAAGGGGAAAACACAAAGCAGGAATACCATTTTATGTCACGAACAGAAGGGTAAACATATTATGGAAGACCCTTGAGTATGTGACTCATGTTTTTCCTGCAGAATGTGAGCCTGGAAGGCAAACAACAGGAAAATATCAAGGTGCAAGTTCTAGGCTGATAATCTGTGCGATGACTCAAAACGCTGGGAGCATTAAAGCAGAAAATTGATAATATACTTACCATTTTTTTCCTGGCTAAACATGGCAGTATCGCTTTTGAGTAGCTATTCAATGTGGCCTGAGAAACAGGAAAGATTCATTAAACAATGAAACAATTAAAAACTAATAAAATCCCCCTCCTCTCTGAGCTCCCAAGTCTGGTTAGTAAGCTGCATAGAATCAAACCAGAAGGGAGTGTGCGTGATGATGTCATGTAACATAGCCAGGAAAAGAAAAATTTGGTAAGTATGTCATCAATTTTCTGCTTTCTTTTTTAAACATGGAAGCATCAATTATGGGTACTACCCAAGCTCCACTGAAGGAAAGAGATTTCTATGAAAAAACAAACTTAATAAGTCACGAAGGACCACTGAGAGAAGAATACTTCTAACAAAATGAATATGGCCTGAGGAAGCAAGGTCACGTTTGTGGAAACCGGCTTACTCTTCCCGTGACATTGATGGTGCTTAGAGGGACATGCATCACTTGACAATTATTTTTGAAAACCTGCAAGCAAACAATTTAAAACAAATATACAAACCAAAGTAAAGACAGAAAAACTTTGGAATGTATGTAATAAACGTTTATAAATTTGGTCAGATTGCATTGTTGGACACACCTCTCAGCTAGGGGAGGCTCTTCAGCCTACCCCCTCACCCTTTTACTCACCGTTACAGTTTCAGATCAGTTCACTACTGACAGAATCTGGGCTCCATTATGCAGCAGCAAGAGAGAGAAACCCGAAACCAGAGACTGCTCTGCATGAATCACACTGATCAGACTGTCAGGATGTTGGTGAAGAGATTGTGTCAATCTGTCAGCCAAGGCCAATACACTTTTCCAGCAGTCCTAGGGATAGGACACTGATTGGTTCGCTCAGTGTCCATCCTGGAGGTGTGGAAAGCATAAGAATGAAGAATCAGGTAAATCTAAAAAATTTTTTATCATATTTACCTTCTTTTTTCAGCCTGCAGCCTGAGGTGACTGTCTCATTCAAAGCTAAAGCTTTTGAATGAGATAGATGTTTTAAGAAGATGCATATCCCTTTAAACTTATCTTTATTATACCCAGTAAAATGTAAAATAATGTAGAAAAATTTACCTACCGGCTGTGCAATATTATATATTGGAAGTCCAGGGGCTTAATGACCTTATACACTTTATGCATGTTTTACTCTTAAAGGGTTACTATAAGCAACATGACCAATTTATTAATTTGAAGTGATCATAGTGCCTGAAGTCTCCACCTCCGGCAGCATCATTAGCCAGCTCAGAGTAAAGTTCTCAGCTGGCTAATATCAATTCTGTGCAAAATTGGCTTCTGATGCCAGAATGCACAGAATGCTGCCGCCAGACAGCCAGTGGCACAATGGAATGACCCTAACTGTGCTGCATCTGTCCTTCCATCAGTACATCCTCCCTCACTATCCTCCACTATGAGGGAAGTTATGTTAACCAAGAAAGATCTGTCTGAGAGGAGCTTGGGCTTTGCAATGGATTGCAGGTGAGTTTTAGCATGTTTTTTTTTCCTATGGGGGGTCAGACCACCTGATTAACCAAAACCAGTGTTCATTGTTATGAAAACAGTGTTTTTTTGGTTGGATGAACCCTTTAATAAAAAGCATTGGTTGGATGCCCCTCATCCTGATAGTAGTTGGGTGTGGGCATTAGCACAAATGTAGTAATATAAAAAAATATATACTTACCATCTTCTTCGAATTCATCTTCTCATCAGCCCATAAAAAAAGGTTAAAAAAAAAATCCATAATAGCACAACGCAACTATTGAAAAGAAGATTCGCAAGAAACTTGATGAGAGAAAAACAAATACCTGATGCAACAAAAACTAGATCGATCTTGGCCCCGCAAGGACTGTGCGCAAAATGAGCTTCAAGGTGTGAGAAGCCCATCTAAAGACTGAAGCTCATTCTGTGCAGAGCCCTTGAGAATATCTATTTTTGTTGCACCAAACCCCGTTATATTATATTTAGAGCCTCCACTCACCACCTATGTTTAAAACAGCCGTTTCTATTAATAAGGGACGGAGGGGACATATTGTTTTTTGTAACTTTAATATGGTAGCTGACTAGCAAGCACTGATGAGCTGGCACATAATTAACCTTAGCACCATTGAGGTCTTTTTTAAAAAAACTATTTGCCCTCCTGGCTGCTAGCAGTTGAAGCAAGCAAATAGTACTTTTACAAAAAGCAAGTGAGCGATAATTTGTGAATGTGCATCCTGCCAGATGCATTCTGTCACAAATTTTTTTTTTTTAATAATTGATTTATTAATATTCAGTATCCTATATTTGTATAGGGTTTGAATGCTAAAGCATCTATACATGGATTGCACCCAGCTGATGCAGATTCAGTCGGGCTGGTCGAGTTCCGAACAGTCAAATTTGGACATTTTCATCAGATTTTGTCTGGGTGGTTAATTTTTCTCTAGATAATTAATAAAGTGTTTAGTGAAATATCTTGTAAGTGACTCATGCAAGTCAAATTTGGCCACCAATTAAATGCCTTAAATTTGTTAGACATTAGGGGTTGTATGAATTGTTTGTAGAGCTGTCTAGGGATAAATTGGTTATATTATTCCTTAATTATATCTGATGATACTTTAGGCTTGTGGAGAACAGGGTGACATTTAATCTTGTATGCAATTATCTTTATTCATGATCAGACGCAGTCTCAGTTCCGGCCTTGCTGAGCGAGAACACACAGCTCTCAGTGAATATAAACATGTTATATCTTCTGTGTAGACGTATTCTAGTATGCATGATAGCCATAATCAGTATGGTTTCTATAGCACTACTTGATAGAGAACCACGAGATTAGGCTTACATAGTACTAATTGGCTTTGGAAATAGAAATTACTATTTATGTTAGGAAACAAGGCCCCCTCTTGTATTAGTAACATATACTTGGTTTGAAAATAAACAGTAGAATATTTTTTATACATTTATTAATGCGCAACATGTAGTTATGCCTCCCAGTGTATACAGAGACCATCGGTTCAAGAAATAGGTTGCGGTAAATTTGAGATAATTATATTGATTTGCATTCAAAGAAAATTAAGCGTTCTCTTATATAAATGAAATGTTTTGGTTACTGAAGTAATGTGGGGGTTGTACTGTGCGAGGCCTGAAAACCCTGCAGCTTTTGTCATTTGTTTCTGCTGATAATGTGTTATCGACGTGTGGCTCAGTTTTACAGCCTTAAAACCACTCAATAATAGTGTTGCATCAGAAAAAAAAAAAGTTTCTTTCTTCTTCTACCTGCTTATAGTATAAAAAAACTCAATGATTGTTATCCAATCCATGGAGCCCATGGAGGGGCATACGGATTCTCTTTCTGGTTTCATGCTGAGCCGAAAAATAGGTAGAGAATCCTACGGGAGGAAAAACTGGCATTGACCAACGAGTCTGTTAGATGGACCTAGTTTTGGGAGCTGCACAGAAAAGGATGGCCCACTGAAAATGGCTGAAACAGTAACTCCAAAGGAGGGCAGTATGAATTGGTCAGATAAATTATTTCTAAATATGCAATGGAGCATAATATCTGGCACTCCTTATAATCTGTAGGGGTCAGTGTTAGTCCTGGGTACAGTTTTAAATTGATCCATCTAAGTGATCCGCCTTGATAAGTGTTGGATTATGGGCATGCATAATGGAAAGAATACAATAGATCATTAACTGTTAAACCAGAGTAAAATGTGAGACCCCAGCGTTCCATGTGAGATACTATGTATGGAGCACAGTACAGAAAGAATCAGGACTAGCTTTCAGTCTTGGACTTTTATTGATATGGGGCTTTACAGGCACATCTCCTCCAACTCAACCCTAAACCTCTATATAACCCACTCTGCTTTCTTTCCTGAACTGTGTCATCTAAAAAACTAAAACTTGATTGTAAACCTTATTTTCTCATACATTAAATACATGTTATTTTACCCTACTCCTGATAGAATGTATGGACAGAACCCTCGGCACCTTCTGCTCCTGTACGTCCAACTTGTTGTTTTGCAACTACTTGCTTATTAGTCCATTTATTGTACATTGCTGTGGTATATGTTGGCGCTTTGTAAATAATAGTAAGAATCATAATGGTGGCTCTCTTTCCCGTAAGGCTAATTTGCATACCAAGGATGCCAGTCCCATCTCCTCCCTCTAGGCCTGAACTCCCGTCTGGTGTATTAACAGACGCTGGGTGCTGCTAAACAGGGCCATTATATAGCTCTGCTTTAATGGAGACAAGGACGTGCGTGCGGCATCATGCAGATGTAACACACACGTTTTGATGTCACATGACTGTTTATATTAGTGCAGTGTCCTGTCGTAGTTTACCTTGTTGTTATCTAAGAGTGCGTTACATTGATGAATTCTTTGTATTTTTACCCCGTTTTGTACCTTAACTGTTCTACCTTCTGCATTCCTTGATATCTGGCTTGTCTTACCATTTACATACGCTCTGTCTCCCTGACATGGCCTATTCTGTTCTATTCTATGTATTACCATTAAGTCCGGCCATTCTACAGTCCAGTAATATGCTTTAGTATGCTGATAATATTTTATTTTTTTGTTAACTTACATTGGGTATTAGTTAAATCCTGACACTAATTAATAAACACGAATAGAAGGGATGTGTTCTAGAAATAGAACTATATAAGCAGAGGTCAAAGTGTATGGTCGTCCTGCTAGGTATAAATTCACCCCTCCTGAATGTGCAATGAACCTCCAGGCTTACAGTCGTCAGTAACTTTTAAGACCTGCCCATTAGTTTAGGATTTAAAATTTGAAACATATATCTCTGTTCTATATCAAGCACATCAGGAAACATAAAAAAATTGAACAAACAGTATGTTACATTCAAGCCGCTGGCGGAACTACCACAGTCACAGGGGTCGCAGCTGCGACCAGGCCCAACATTCCAGGGGGCCCAGCCGCTCTGTAGACCCCTGCGACTGAGGTGCCCGCGGAAAAAACGCTGGGGCCACATTGAAGGAGCCCATCAGGTTGCCCATGCTCCTGGGGCCACTCGATGGCAATGGATTTCCTGGGACCCGGTCAGCGCTGCAGCGCTTTAGGAGCGCGACTGGGCCCCAGTGATGATGTCAGAGCTGGGAGGAAGCCGCGCAGGAGGAGAGGAGGGAGTCAGAGTGGGAGCTCTGACTCCCATCAGTTTTTAACAGTTTGTGTGTGTGATAGAGAATGTCTGTATCAGTATATCTATGTGTGTATCTGTTTGTCTGTATTTACGTGTTACTGTGTGTATGTGTGTGTCTGTATGTATGTGTCTCTGTGTGTGTCTGTATGTGTGTGTGTGTCTACATGTCTGTGTGTATGTATGTATGTGTGTGTGTGTCTGTATGTATGGGTCTCTGTGTGTATGTGTGTGTGTTTGTATGTATATATATATATGCGTGTCTGTATGTATGTATTTGTGTGTATGTATGTGTGTTTGTGTGTATGTGTGTGTCAACATGTATGTGTGTCTGTGTGTGTGTCGGCGTATCTGTTTGTCTGCATGTGTGTGGGGGGGGTGTGGACGTATGGGATTGGGAGTAGATGTATGGGGGTGGGGACGTATGTGGTTGGGGGGGTAGATGTATGGGAGGGGCCCCAGGGCAATTTTTGCACCGGGGCCTTGTGGTTTCTTATTACGCCTCTGATTCAAGCACATTACTGTTTCCATGTCTAGATTTCTTTTTTATGTTTTGGAAGGATTCCAGAAGTAATGGATGAACACATTACCAGCTGCTTGGCATCAACCTGCCTTTTCTGAATCCACGAGAGTGCTTCAGTGTGAATGAGAAATACATTTGCACATACACATTAACATTTCTCTGCTCTCAGATGGAGCAAACGTATTGTTTATTAAACCACCACTACTGCATTTCACTCTACTTTAAACATAGTTCAAGGCTGTTACTGGCCTCTAGAACGAAATCTGATGGAGGTTTAGTAGACAAAAAATCCCCAGCCAACTTCTACTCAAATAACCTATTACTTGCTTAAAATAAAAATGTGCAAAAACAAAAAGAGGATTTAATCAGGGAAGCCTTTTTTAATCAACCAGATGGTGATTAAATAGCGAAAAATAATATATTATTTTGCTAGTTAAATATTCAAATATGGGAATATGACTCCATCCTGTTGATTACATTTTCCCAGAGTTCGTGACTGTTACAAGGTACGCTTTCTCGGTTCTCTTGTTGCACACTGTTCAGTTTGCAGTCATATCAAATAAGTATTTGACTTATGCGTAATGGCAGCCTTAAGCTTAGAATGTAGAGAGGACACCATTACGTTAATAACGATGTACAAAATAAATTATGGAATATTCAATCACGAAGGGGAACTAATAGATTCTGTGGATATCCATATATGAATACAGACAGCGATTATTCTTCATTGAGTCTGAACTTTTATTCTTAATAATGTGAAAAAAAATGAAATTCCAGCCAAGGCACGTATTGAATGAGAGGAGGAGAAATAGACACATTGTGTCTGTTTCTCGTCTTGTACATTCTTTGACCGAACAGGGCAGAGTGTATAACAAAAACTGATCCAAACAAAGGAGCCAAGGTGAAGGCAATCCGTTTTAGGACAGAGGTAAATGCAAAGTTGGGGATTTTACTTTTATTTATTTTTTTCAGATTTTACAAATATATTTTTGTTTATAATATAGGTGACATTTTAACATATTATTACAAATCATTAGTAGGGAGCATTCCCCAAACTATCTCTAATGAGTTTTTTGGAAAAATTAGTTTTCTCCAAAAATATGAATTTATCATTTTGCAGAAATAATAATTCAAAAAGGGAACAGAATATTCATTAAGCATTAAAGATAATCTGTATTTTCCCAGATGTGAAAGTTCTTCTTGCCCTCATCCCAGTGAATGCTACTTCAACGGTTACTAGGGTGTAGAGAGCAGTGGCACTAACGAAAAAACATACTTACCTCAGTGGCACTTCTGTGGTCTGGGCACCGTCACCAACCCATAATGCCTCGGGTGTGTTTATACGCATTGGGACATCTAATGGATAAATTGTGTTCATGTGCATGATCACCAGACTTTTTGTCCACCATGCTTTCTCCTGGCGTACAGCACTGCAGTAGTTAACTCATTTGCATATTTAGCCTGGTGTTGTGTGGCAAAACATGCAAATTAGAATAAAAAGATTCAGGATTTAAATGTTTCTCAACAAAAATGTTTCAATCCTAATGTTAGCTCGTTGCTCTAAAATTTTAAAAGGCACAGTTCCTCTTTAAGGCTGGCATACCATCAGTGGAGTTATTTTCTACAATAATTGGGAGGTCTATGTATTGGTCATCCCTGGTCTAAGTGGTATTAGAAGTGAAAGTAGCTGTTATTTTATACTCTATATAAATTTTCATGTGTTTTATGGACTATAAGAAGGGTACCAGTTATTTGACCAAATAATACAGTGATGAGATTTGCATACTTACCAAATGGGAGGTATGAAACTGGTGTGATGGGGGGTAGGCCTACAGTGGGTATGCCAGTAACAAGACTTGCTTCACTGAGGATGCCAAATATGGCCGGTCCACCTGAAAAGAGGACAGGGCCATCCAAAACCCGAGCATGCCAGACTGGTTTGCATTCCGCAAAACACCAGAGACTAAACTCAGGATGGCGGGATAAGAATGTCCCACCAAATATGGTAAGCATGGATTAATGGATAATTTTCCTATACTAATTGTCCTGACGTGATAAACATGTACTGAGCTTATCAAGGACCCAAAAACTAGAACTGCTGTGTTATTTTTAGCTGTTAATGGAAACATTTGATATTCAGTACTCAGTGGTGATTAATTAACTAAGAATTTTAATGAACAAACTACAAGCGCTGAATAAACAAAACTTCGATTAATCTTATTAAAGTGTGTTAAAAATTAAAAAAAAATATTATTCCAATGAATATCTAAGATCACATAGGAAAGATTATTTGTCCCTGCCAGGCAATCGCAAAAAAAAATATTTATTCATGAAATGCTGATGTGTACAGATTTATTTTCGGATAAAGTTACCTTAATTGCAACCATTGGTTAATGTAATGCATCACAAACGCCAAAGAGCAGATTCACTTAGGGATAAAAAGTTGAAGACATGAATTATTCCCTTTGACGGTGGATTAAACATGAATAAATAGCAAAACTATACTAAACTATACTCACTGCCTGGAATTGTTGAGATTTGTTTTTCAATTCACCACACTGTGTTGGATAATGACTAAAATGTATCTGTGTTTTTCCTCACATTATAATATTCCCTAGAGAATAGGGGAGTCTTTTGAAGGAGCGCTATTTAGGTCAACCATCTGTCCTCACAATCCCTTCCAGAGTGTGTGTCAAAGAGCGGTTGTAAAACTTAAAATCTGGCACTGATATATGAAGACATTTTTTGGCTGCCAAAGCATGACTTCTGTTGTGTCTAGGAACCACGTATACACAATTAACTTGCTAAATACATCACTTACATGAAATACATATTTAATTCCCCCCCCCCACCCCCATACATACTTGCTTATAAAATTATATACACACACACACGTAAATAAATTACTAGAAATTCACACCCATCACAAACACATGTATTTAATGACAAAATCTCACACGTACTCACAGGCAACCACTCAAATTTACACTAATTAATTACAGGCATACCCCATTTTTAAGTACACAATGGGACCAGAGCATGTATGTAAAATGAAAATGTACTTAAAGTGAAGCAATACGTTTTTTACACTTCCCAATGCATGTCCAGCATTGCAATAGTAATTTACAGGCATAACTGATACTGCAGCTGCAGATTTCCAGTGATGTTATTACCAGTGATTTATTTAGTGATTTCCAGTGGGCTTTTATTCAGTTAAAACAAACAGTAGAAAAAAATAGAAAATAAAAATCTCATTCCAGATTGTATCATTTATCGTTCATCTGACAACCTTAAACTGGGAGGAAAAGTAAAATAAACCTGCCCACTGAGCCGTTTTCTGCCAATCCAGTGCCAATTTGTATTTATTAGCAGCTTAGTTGCACACTTAGTTTAGAAGCACCTCTTCATCACTTTAAGCATTTATGGTTTAACTTTGAATCCTCAGAATTGTGGCTAATGCAGCTAATCTGCTAAGTCATAGTTATAGAAAATGGCAGGGTAAACCCTTTCACTGGATGGCAGCCAATTGCAGAATATGGACAATGTATGGGCAGAAAATATATATATATATGTTCAGCAAGGAGTAGACATAAATTTGAGATGATTAACCTGTGACATGTCAGAAGGTGTGAAAAGTTCTTGCCCCAATGACACTGAACTGAGCTGCTCCGGGCGAGAATAGGACCTTCCATTTACTGTTCACGCGCAAACAGTAGAGGCGCGGGAATGTCTGTACTCGTGAGGCACCTTTAGGTACACTTGCGAGTATGTCTGTACTCGTGAGTGTATGTAAAGTGAGTGTATGTAAAGTGAGTGTATGTAAAGCGGGGTGTGCCTGTATGCACCTTCTCCCCTCTGCTGCTTACCTTGTCATGGTTGAGGAGCTCCAGCCTTCTTTCATTAATAGGGAGCGAATAAGAGCAGTACACTGTGCATCTGCCTTGTCTCTCCCTCAGCATACCACACATTAAACAGGGAATTTATGCTGGGTCATGACTTCACATCATGAGACCCGCTAAATGTAAAATTGAGGCTGGTGCTACAGCCTCACCCAGGAGCACTAGGGAACTGTCCCTGGGCACCAGAGCGTGAACACTTTATTAGACGCGATTGCGGTGTGCAGCTGGCACTAAGACCATTCAGAGAGCACTTTAGCAGGGCTCTCTGCATCGTCCGGCCTAACATCTGCCATGCCCCTTCACTGGTGGGCCTGACTCTTTTATTCAGACAGACCTACACGCTATGGGGTCTAATGGTGATGTGAGTTGCATCAATGGCAACACCGTTCGGGGCCTGCTCCCATTATTTTGATTGCATACCTCCTCCCAGTGCTGGGAAGTATAACATTTGGAAACAACCACCTAATATATACTTGTTTCCTGCAAGTTAGAACAAACGGGGTGTTATATACCAGGACATACTTGAAAACGAGAGAAATCTCAATGTATCTTTCTTGGTAAAATATTTTATAAATAAATAAATATAAAATGTTGGAGATGCTTAGCATCTCCTAGAATTACCTTATAATATCCTTTTCCAGCACTCAGTACACGATGAATTAGTGTAAATGAGCAAGGAATGCCTTAGTAGAGATCAAATGTCAGATCATTGAGGTGGGGTCTGCAGAGAACATAGACTGGATATTATTTTTCTTTGTAATTGAAACTTTCTAATTTGCTTTTGGTTTATTTCCAGGTAACGCGATGCATAGTAGAAGTTCTGTCCAATGCTTTGGCGAAACCCAATGCTCCCCCGATTGATCCAGAATGTAAAGAAATCCTTAAAAAGAGTGAGTATTGCAACTAACTGGAACCAGTGCTGATATGAATGCCATTATTTATTAAACCTCAAATCGTTGGGAACTTACAAGAAAAAGTAAAATTTAAGGTCAATGCGGTTAAACTGAAAAATTCTCTTTTCCCAGCCTCATTATTTTGGCTTGAAATTTGAATGTTTGAATTCTTGAATTATATTTCAAACCGGTTTACTCACAAATGGAAAAATAATCCAGAATTCGAAGTAAATTTCAACTTTCAACTAAGTGGAAAAATTCTCGAAATCAGCTGTTTTCAGTGCCAGCTGTCTTGCCTGTCGTTACCTGTTATAAGATGTGCTGGTTGTTCATGTTAATATATTCTCATTTGTCTCTGGTGTCTTTCTTTGTAATTTAAAACAAACTGACATCTATTAAAAAACATTTACTGGAAGCGTAGACATCAGTTGAACAGAGTGTTGTTTGATAAAACAAGGTAAATTGTGACATTGATTGGTAACAAATATAAACACATATAGCTACATTTGTAAGCTCACCCACTTTGCCTTAAAGGAACACTATACCGTATGGAATACAAAACTGTATTCCTAACACTATAGTGTCACTCTGCCCATAGCTGAATGTCAGACGCCCTCATTGTGTTGAAAGGGTTGAAAAGATTTCAACATTTACCTCATTCCAGCACGAAGGTCTCTGGGCGGGGGTTCTGTCTCCTCCTCCTCTTTTGGCATCATGGCCAACTCAACTAGGCCTTCACATTGGAAGCACTGAACCAATGTTTTCCTATGGGGGATTAGAAAAAACTGGATGTTCACTTGCAAAGCGTGAGGATGTCCAGCGTTGTTTCATAGAGTTAAACTCCGTGAAGCACCAGGAAGAGTCTCTAATGGCTGTCTGGTAGTTGGCCACTAGGGGAGAGTTAACCCTGCAATATAATTATTGCAGTTTCGCTGAAACTGCTATATTTTACTTTGCAGGGTTAAGGGGACAAGGACAGTGCACCCAGACCACTTCAATGAGATTATTTGGTCTGAGTGCCTATAGAGTCCCTTTAAATTTTCTATTCCCATCTTTATATATTCTTAGAACCAAACAAATCTCCTTTTGGGAGAGTGTGTGTTACAACAGATGGGTTAGTGAAAAAGATACATGTATAGCCGCTCTGTACACTAATGTGGATTACCCTTTATTCCACATGCAATAGATATAACAAAGAAATTTGGTATATAATATAAATATACACACCTAAAGTGGAGCGCTATAAATGTTGAGGAATTACCTCACAGGGTCTTGATTGGGTCGTATACGTCACATACAGATATGGAAGATAAAAATATATAATGTAGTGCAGATTGTAAAACACTTGTGCAATTTCAAATGAGGTAGATAAATGGATCACTCACATTTTCCAGAGCCTATGTTTTGGCTCTGTAAATTGGACCGGTATGCTTTTTAGGGCAGCATCCCACCACTATTTCCTGCTGAAATTTTTATCTGGGAATATAAAAACAATAGGAACATCCAATGTGTAGTATAGTCATTTCACAAATATTTCTGATAGAATGTAAATAGGTATTATGCTCACCTGTTATAGAGCCTTAAAATTCTGGCTCTGAGGGTGGTAGGCTTTGTGCCACTCTAAAAGGGTTGGCACTTCCCCAATTGAAGGTACTTGAGGCTTCTATGGACTTAGTAGAAAATGTAATCTATTTATTAATACAAATATGCTAAAATGTAAATAAAAATGAAATACAACGATTAAGATAAAAAGTCCTGGTTGCCGATATGTGTTTCACTCCTCCTGGAGCTTCCTCAGTCAGCTGTGTTTAGATCCTCTGTACCTTCTGCCTTTTAAATGTCTCTTGGGTCCTCCCTTGAGTTCGTATTTCTATGTATTCTTAATTTCCAAGTTTAGTTAACACCTAGTAATTCTTTAGCTTTTAAAAGTAATTATACATCAAAAAACATGTCTCATCCTACCCTGTCATGTAATTCTCTGCCCTAGTCACTTATATCATGAAACAGACCATGCACACAAACAATGCACACAAACAGTGCACACAAACAATGAACACAAACAGTGCATACAAACTTGCCTGTTTTGGTGGTAGTTTACTTGTCATTTAGCCTAAATCCTCCTAATCCTGGTGTTTCTCATTGTCTGTCTATCTGTCCATCCATGCAATTTCATCATAATAATATATTGTTAGTTTTTACTGTTAATGAAAAACTAAATGTTTCACGCTGTATTGAGCAACTCTTTTTTACGACAGTCTAATAATATTTTACAGTGTAGTTTCTAAGAATAATGTTGCAGAAATTTTTTTTTTAAATCAGTTATATAAAAAAATATTTAAAAATTATTTAAAATAATCCATCATATTATTTTACCATTTGAAGTTAAACCAAATCATAAATTGTTCGAGATACCTTTTTGATTTTTGCTTTTAGACACTTTGAGAAGGAAAAAAAGATAATTATGGTTTTTCTTTTGCTGTTTTTTTTTTTTACCGAGCATGATTATTTCTTTCAATTTATATTAATATGAAATGCTGCTAAATATAATGAGGAAGAGTCCTTAAACTTTACTTTCAATAGCTATTGTCCCTTGTGTCCTGGAGGTGAAAAAAAAATAAAACTAATTTCATCATAACCGGTTGAACAGAAATAATTAAAGTTTCTTTGTACGTAATGCCCAATGTTAGTTTCTTTAGTTTAATAAAAGCTTTAAGAATAAAACATATCATGTTGGGGTAAAATATATTAGATTTTTTTTATAATAACACATTTTTCTTCCTTTATAGTTCTGTACAAGAACGAAAGATTAGGAGGGTATTGCTTGTTTTGTACCATGAATGTTTGATGAAAGTCAAAGAATCTGCAAGGGACACAGAAAGGGTTGACTTACAAAACAAAATAGCCCTTTTTCTATTAGTAAGGATGAGATTCAACAAAACTAAAAAAGGTTTATAAATCGACTTAGTGCTTAGTTTAGTTTGAAGCTGTTCGATACCAGGACATTGGGTCATTAAATAATGCTACTTCTGCACATTGCTAAATTAATTAATTGGTAGCACTGGCAGAAGAAATGTGATTTCAATGCGTTAACAGCATTTATTGTCCGTATTTAAAATACAATTAACTTGCTATAAAAATAAATGAATAAATAAAACTTAGCATCCTCTACTTTATAAATGCAATAAAAATAAACAGAAACTGATTTTTTTCACACCTGGTTGCATATGTGTTTTCTCGGTGGAAGACTACGTTGAAATATAAATGTCTATAGTGACTTATTATAATAAGTGTTGTATTTTCTATTAATTTATATGGATTCCTTAGGACATATTGATGTTAATTAATATATTAGTTGAATCTAATGCTGTCATGTGCGTATTGAGTAAATGTTCTATTTCTCTAACATTTAGAAAATATTTTATAGGTACTAGGCCCAGTAATAATGAACAACTGGAGGAAGCAAACAACTTTAAGGAGATGACCGCTGCAGATAAACATCTACATGAATTTGATGATGAAACAGGACAACAGACTCGGGAAAGCAAAGTTCCGAAAGAGCAAGAGGAAGAGAAACGACACCATGAGGGCAGGGAAAGCCAGGAAGAAAAAGATGAAGAAGAAGGAAGAGAGAAGAATATCCACAGTGTGGAAAATGAGGAAGATACAGGTCATTCGAAAGAAAGTGACTTTGAAGACGGTGAGGAGGAAAGGGGAGAAATGATTAAAAAAGATAAATTTCGTCCTGATGAGTCTCATGACACGAGACATGATGTTTTTGACAAGAAAGTTCACACGGCTGCTAAAAATGTTGAAGAGTTCTCAGAAGATGATGAACCCAGAAGCTTAGAGGACATTATAAAACGGCATCATGGAGGTTTACACTGGAAAGAACAACTTGGTCATCCAGAAGAACACTCTTCCGAAACATCTGATGAGTCAAAAGAAAAAGAAGAAGAAGAAAAGAGAAATCTTAAATCAAAGCTAGGGGACTTTGGCCAAAGAATACTTGGTTATGATGAAAAAAGAAGACATGAACTGGAGCAAAGAAGCCACACTAATTTGCATGAAGAACAGCCATATTCAAGGGTGCAGAAAGGATATTATGGAATAAACTCTTTTGAGGATAATATGAAGAGGAATCATTATGATAAAAGAACTCACCATGAGGTTCAGAGTTCAGAGGAGTCAAAAGAAAAGAGACATTTTCACAGAGGGAGTGTAGAGGAGAGAGAAGAGCCCTATGACAGTGAAAGTGAAGAAAGTAAAGAGAAAGAACTAAAGCGACACCATTTGGAAGAAGAGGAGAACAATCTGCAGAAGGAAAGAAAGAGGTGGCCAACTGGACAACATGCAGATATGAGATTGAATTATGGACGTGGTAAAGAAGATAATGAAGAGAGTAAGGATGATATTGATAAACGCCATTTTAATAATCAAGATGAAAAACAGAAACTATATGAAAAACTGAAACATCATCTTCAAGCAGATGAAGAGGAACAACCTTACAGTCATGGTATAAAAGATAACAAGAGACACTATATAGGTGAAGAAATGGTTGATGAGATGAAAAGGTACTACCCAGATTATTCAGATGAGAAAGAAAAAAGACATTATAATGAAGAATTAAAAAAACACTACTATGGAGCAAATAAAGAGAATACTGAAGAATCTAACTACTTAAACAATGAAAAGTACAACCGACACAGTTCTGAAGAAGAAAGGCAGCCAGACAATCATTATGGCTTTACTGATGACCAAATTAAATGGAAGAAGTTCTTTGATAATGATGATGACAATTTTCTAGATAGTGAGGAAGAAAGCAAACGTAGCATACAAAACAAAAATGTCTTGCCCGAATACAATGATTATGATTGGTGGGGGAAAAAGCAGTTTTTAGAAGATATGAACCACGGCTATGAGGAAAAAAGAATGCCACAGAAATACCACAAGTTTGAAGAGAAAAGACAATATGATCGCATGGATGAACTCGCTCAGCTTCTTAATTACAAGAAAAAGTCTGTAGAGATTCCAGATTTCTATGACTCAGAAGAAATAAAAAAACGTAATTTTAATGAAAGAGATCGTCTCAGTCAAAGGCCACTAACAGAAGAAGAGGTAAATATTAACACAATAAAGACATAGAAGCCCTGGATGAGTACAACAAAAAGCATGATTTGTATTCCTTGATTTACATTGTGATATTGTTTCACTGATTGAATAAAAGAAGTTGCCCCAAATATATGACGGAAAGAGTCAGAGTTCAAGAATAGAATTTGTAGTAGTTTAAGAATTGTGGGAATCTACAAATAAGACAGAGCGGTTCCTTATCTATAATTTTTATTGACGCACTTAAGCAACATAAATACTGTGGCTCACTGTAGTGGTTATGGTAAAGTGAGTGCCTTGGCATCCCCCAATTGTAAGTAGTCAAACTGTTTTTGAACAGTTTGACTTCATAACTGGAGTCCATGAGGATTCACTTCTATCTCCAATACCAATGGTGTAGAGATGGACATTCTTAAAATGAGCCTGTTATGAAAAAATGCACTTACGTGAAATCACTCCCATATACATTGAATACAACATATATCACAAAGATACATGGTGTAAAATATGATCCATATAAAATATAAAGATTTACTCTCTTTACCTCCGTGGCAGTGCCGCTTCGGGAGTGTTACTCTTCGTATAACACCCATTTTTTTGTCTTCTCCCGCTCCGCCTGCGCTCCTCCAAAAGTTTTGTTTGATTTGCACTGCTTCCCCAAGCCGGGCAAATCTCATTAGTCATGTTAGCAGGCTGGCTTTGTTCCCAGCGTGTTGGCTTTAGAACTTCTCCTATGGGTGGAGAGCAGGGGGACCTCTTGTGGGAGGTCTTTTCTGATCTCCCTTGTTAGTTAATTCTAGCACGTTGAGACAGTGACTTACAGCTGGGAGAAAAAACTATTTTTAAATAGTTTTTTTTCCTCATCTATACATTTGCTATCAAAACTGCAAGCACAATGTATAGAAAAAATTGTATGATCGATCTGAGCATAAGTTGTTTGGAACATGACAAATGCCCTCTACGCAGGGCAATATACTACTTAGTTTGTTAGCTGAGAGCATCGGCTCTGGAGCTTAGCAGCTTCTGGCCATTGATCGTGAAGGCAGAAAGCGGCACCTGGCAGACTCCAGGTAAAGAATCAAACCATTCAAAAACAGTTTGACTACTTATATTGGGCACTCCTGGCACCATAACCACTACAGCAAGCTTGAAATGTTCCTTTAAAGTGACTCACTGACATGTCAAAAAGAGTATTTACCCAATGTGTTTTCATCACAGAGCTTCATGTACACTTCATGAACACTTGCTCTACCAAGTGAGTAATTCGTTTGCATCACATATGGTGATGGTGTTGTACACTGGTGAAGAGCTTTGTGAAGAGGCTATGTCTGACTACAGTATGACAGATACATTCAAGCTCCATTGGATTTCAGAAATTTTGATAATGAAAAGATTGCAGTAGTCAGGACGGGAGACGAGGAAGTGAATGGAATGCTTGCAGCACTGTGAATGAGATGTGGATGTATTTGAGGAATACATTTGGTAAAGGTTCAAGGAACATGCAGTGATTTTCAATTCAAAGCATAATAGAAAGGACAGAGTCAAGAATGGAATTGAGTCATCATGTTTGGTTAATAAATGTATCAATGGCAGACATTTGGACTATGGAGTGGAAAGAGGGCATTATATCATGTTACGTTAAGGAATGGTTGTAGAGTGAGAACAGTTGAATTCTACAAACGTACATTTGTGATCATGATAGAGCCTAGCATTAATGAGATAGGAAGGGATCAGGTCAAGGAGCCAAGTACCGCTTCCTCAATAACAAGGCCAAAAAGGTATGGAGGGTAGCAAGTAGAGTTTTATTAGATGAATAGAGAGGAATGACTTCATTAAATGACCTGTATGTGAATGCAGACAGGGAACAGGTGTGGGTGGATAAAGAATGGGGCTGAAAGTAACGATGAAGCATCAACGGTTGAACAAAAGCCAAGAGATTAAATATAAGGGATAAAAAAATCCATCCACGATGTCATGAAAAAGTGGAGTATCAGACAATGGATTTAGAGGTAAAATATAAAAGGTGAAATCTTTCAGACAGGAGAATCAAAAACTCTAGTTGTCATAGTGAAATGCATTTTTTTGTTATCTTTTTTTTTGTAGGAAAAGGAATTGGAGAATCTGGCAATTATGGACATGGAACTACAGAAGATTGCTGAGAAACTCACTAATAATCGACAAGGCTGAGACAAAAAAAAAAAAACAACAAAAAAACTGAAAAATAATAGCAAAACGCTATGCTATATTTAGTTACATTCCTTGTCAAATTCACTGCCTCTTGAATAGAAAAAAAAATGTTGTTTAGCCAAGAAAAGCAAAATGTAGTTTATCGTTCACAGATGTTATTTTACACAGGTGTAAATGTCTTAGATATTATTTACTGTATGCTATTGATACTAAGATATATAACATATATTCATATATATACATAGACAGAGACATTTTAATAAGCTTGTAACAATGTTTTTGTGTTATTGTTCTTTAATACATTTATGTCTTGAGATTTGAAATAATAAAAAAGCAAATTAATCCTGTTTTGGTTTTCCGTTTCTTGTTTTGTTTTGCTCATGGCAAACTGTGAACATGTGGACACAAATATCTTTCTGAAAAAGCCTTTTATGCCTTTGCTATAGGTTCATACAGCGGTTCCCAAACTGTGTGCCACGGCAAAATTATATACAAAACACACAAGTAATAATATTGTTCTCTACGATGAGACGGCTCTTCTCGGAATTCATTTGGGCGCACAAACACCCTCGACTCAGCTTCACAACTCTGACTAAAAGGAAAAATAGAGGGGGCTTGGGTTTACCTGATATTGAAACCTACTATAAGGCAGTCATACTACACCGCATATACGAATGGACAGCACCGCACCCGCACAGACAATGGAGAACTATAGAAGAGACGTTCCTCTCCACACACGCACACAATGTAGTCTGGCACCCCAAAGGGCGAATGCTACAAAAGCCACCCTTCTCCCAACACCCGACCATCACCCCCGCACTGAAGGTTTGGAACCAAATCAGGGATTCCCAAGTACTATCCCCACACCCATCTCCGCGCTACCCGATAACAAACAACCCTCTTTTTCCACCGGGCTGTCAAACCCAATTCCTACAACACAACACACAATCACAACAACTCACACTACAAGATGTGATACAAGGGGGAAACATTAAACCACTGACAGATCTCATAGTTGACTCCCGGATAACAACGATGCACACTTTCCAACACGCACAATTGACACACTTTCTTAAGGCCGACAATACCCTTCTAACGAAACTCCGGCCACAGACAGAATTCGAAAATCTATGCCAAACGCAGGGGATCAAAAGCAAACACCTCTCAACTATGTACAAACTCCTCCAAAAAGACAACAATACTAGTTTCCCACCATTTACACAAACATGGGAGTCCGATCTGAACACATCAATCCCCGACACCGACTGGACGAAAATTCTAACCAAGGCTCACTCTACTACAACGAATAGCACCATACAATAAAGTAACTACAAAAAAATTACCAGATGGCATTATACACCAGACAAATTGAGTAGAATATACTCAAACACCCGGAACCTTTGCTGGAGATGTAACCAAACCCCAGCTACATCCGCACACATATGGTGGTCCTGCCCTATAATAAATGCTTTCTGGAAAAAAATCTCAGACCTGATTAAACACATCACAGACATCTCTCTACCCTTCCTCCCAGAATCTTACCTATTCTTGCTACCCCCAACCGACATCCCTAAGACACGACTCCACCTCATCAACCATCTACTGACGGCAGCAAACCTACTAATACCTATAAAATGGAAACAGACCCTAGCACCCTCAATTAGGGAATGGATACAAAAAGTGGAAGACACTAGGGTCATGGAAGAACTTACCTTCTCACTCACCCATAGATACGCACACTACAAACAAACCTGGGAACCTTGGACCCAATTTCTAGACAGAGGCAATCAGGAGTATGGAAAGGGACACAATCGAGAGCACCACACGGTAAGACCGAAAATTGACACTATACACACTAGCTGTAGACTATAACCAAAACCTTACCACAAGGACGAACCTAACGATCTCTCCAGCCACGGCTACCACACACGAGGACTGACGCAGACAACATAGACTACATATTCGTAATATCTCCGACACATATAGTTATTTGATCGTGCCATTGTAAACTGACATGAAGCCACATCATATACACAGCCGGTATATTATTTACGCATTGTTACGTTTTACGGAACCAATGTTACTGTTAATCCGTTCTCAAAATGACGAATTGTTATATAATCACCCTGACGGGTTTAGCAATCTGAGAAAGGATTGTTGTTCATCTACACAAACTGAAGTATGAGAAATGATTGTTATCCATCTTTGCATACCAAATAAGAGAAATGTTTGTTACTCAATTATGTATATTGAAAAATAAAAATATAAATAAAAAAAAAATAAAAAAAAATAAATAAATTTAAATGAGACTTTATACCAAAAAAAAACAAAAAAACAAAAAAAAAAACAAGTAATAATATTGCGCTAAAATAATAAATAGTGATAATTGACAATAATTCAATAAGCAGCACTTAGTGTAGCGAAAAAGCTCCAATCACATACCATGAGGACAAAACAAAAACAAAGTGCGCTTTAAGACCAATATTTAAACAAGAATGTTTGATAAAGTGCAATTCAGTGCAAATTTATATAGCAAAAAGTGATCAATATTCAAACAAGATATTTTGATAGAGTGCAATATTATATGGCAAAAAAGTGATCCAGTGCACTTGTGCAAATATGCAAGAAAACTCACAAGTAAAGTAAGTTGACAAATAGTGCAAATTTCTGTTTGAAATATATTTAACTTTCCCACTATGAGGAAAAAGCCTCCAAGCTTGTATCAGCAATACAATATAAATCTCAAAAAAGAGAAAAAAGACACAAAGGACAATATGCATAAAAAATAAATGTATAGAGAATGTAAACTGAAACACTCACAAAGGTAGAGCAATATAGTTTGCTCTAAACTGTAATGGCATCCTTATGCAAAGTAAGCAGACTTAAGGCTGTGGTGAAGGTTGCAAACTTTATTAGTACTTTCCAGTTAAAACAGCTGCCAGGCAAAAGACCCCTTTTATTTTCTATTCCCTCCTCTCCTGTTGGTATGTTGGCTTCACGTTGATCCAGCGCCGGCTGTGCAGGACGCTGAGTGCCGAAAATGCTGATCAACAGTTCCGGGGGGCTGGGCTTACAGCCGCAGAGCGCGATTACGCGTTTCACCGACGTGCTCGGCTTCATCAGATCAATTATAGCACCGGGAAATATAACTGCTGAACAGCTTTAAGACCGCGACCGGGCCCCTGTAAGGTCGTCCGGCTGGGAGGAAGCCTGTCACTTCCTCCACAGCCTGTCACTTCCTCCCAGCATCACGCAGGGAGGCAGCCGTAGCATGAGGGGAGAGGAGCACTCCAGAGCTGCTCCAGACCCCTCACTCCTACCAACAGTAGGACTCAAAGCCATCCTCCTGGACACATAACATAAACTAACATGGCAATGACCCAAAACACACATTCAAGGCAACAAAGGAGTGGCTCAAGAAGAAGCACATTAAGGTCCTGGAATGGCTTGTGTGTGTGTGTGTGTGTGTGTATGAGTGTGAGTAGGATTGTGCGTATGAGTAGGAGTGTGTATGTGTCAGGGTGTGCATCTATGTGTGTGTATATATGTATATATATATGTCAGTGTGCTTCTGTTTCAGTGTGTCTCTGTGTGTGTGCACACATCTGTGTGTCACAGTGTGTGTTTTTATGTCAGTGTATGTATCTATGTATGTATCAGGGTGCGTGTGTGTATCTGTGTGTGTGTGTCGGTGTGTATCTATGTGTCTGTATGTGTTGGTGTCTATATGGATTTGTGTGTATGTGTTGGTGTATTTATATGTATCTGTGTGTTAATGTGCATGAATATCTGTGTAAGTATGTATGTATGTGTGTATGTATGTAGTAGTGTATGTGCATACATCCAAGCAGTCAAACACCAGCACAACATACAAGCACAAACCTGCAAACTAACACAAATATTATATACAAACCCACCTGTGCATTCAAACTACAAAAAAAGCACACCATTTCACTCAAACATAAATACTTCACACAAATGTACATCCGCATTTAAAAGTAAACATTACATTCAGACACATCCCTGCAATCAAACGCAAACATCACATACAAACACACCCCTGTATTAAAACACTAAAACTATATACAAGCACCCTTTCAAACACCAACACTGTACATTACACTATAGCGCCAGTAAATGCCGCAGAGCTGTGCAGATATACAACCTAGAAATTTTGACACGGGGTGCCTTGGAAAAATACTAAAATATTAAGGGCGCCTTGAACTTAAAAAGTTTGGGAACCACTGAGTTGATATATTCTGCCCACCGACCCAAGCAAGTAAGTCGTTTAGCATTATTTAAATATATATATATATACACATAAAAAACTGCATTTAAGTCGTGTAAATGTTTTTTTTTTTTCTTCTTAAATTTTCTGTGAAATATATATTCTCTTTTAAAACATATAGAAAATAAAATATGATAAGTATTTCTGTTTTATTGTACTACTAGTAAAGGTAACTTAAAATTACAAATATAATAATTATTTTAACCACTCTCTTCATACCCTAATAAATGGAAACAAGATACCTCTGGTATAGTCATGGCATTGATAAAAAATAGATGTAAATACATTTGAGGTTTTTAAATTAAAAAAACTGCTTTATTTTCAAATAATTGCCAGTTTATATCACTGCTTTGAGTTTCTGTTATATGCAGGACAAATTACATTACATTACATTAAGAACTGTTACATTTAAATATATTGTGATTAACTTTCTACCTGTCTATAATGATAAAGTAATTGCAGTTATTGCTATTCTTAAAGAGTTATATTGCATTGCATTTTTAATTGAGTTTGCAAAGTCCTACTGGGTATTATTTACTAAGCCACCCACCTTCCGAAAATAAAGATTAAACTTACGTAGAATTCTGTGCTGGGCAAAGCTCCCCTTTTTTATAATTCTTTATTTTAGTTGTGCATAGTAATACATAAAAACTTGCCAAGCTACAACAGCTGTTGAAAGTACAACATAAAATATGAGATAATTGCATGGCTTCAATAAAACTGCAGATTAAAAAAAGAAAAAAAAAAAGACATACAGTGAGGGGAAAAAAGCATTTGATCCCCTGCTGATTTTGAACGTTTGCCCACTGACACAGAAATGATCCATCTATAATTTTAGTGGCAGGTGTATTTTAACAGCGAGAGACAGAATAACAACAACAACAAAAAAATCCAAAAAACTATCAAAAAAGTTATAAATTGATTTGCATGTCAATGAGTGAAATATGTATTTGATCCCCTATCAATCAGCAAGATTTCTAACAGGGAGAGACAGAATAACAAAAAAAAAAATTTTCAGAAAAACTCATGGAAAAAAAGCTATAAATTAATTTTCATGTCAATGAGTAAAATAAGTATTTGACCCCTTCGACTTGGCATTTGGTGGCAAAACCCTTGTTGGCAATCACGGAGGTCAGACGTTTCTTGTAGTTGCACACATCTCAGGAGAGATTTTGTCCCACTTCTATTTGCAGATCCTCTCCAAGTCCTCTCCAAGTCATTAAGGTTT